CGCAAAGCGCGGAAGCTTTGATGTGTCATTGAATTATTAGAGAAAGAACATGATTTGTTGTACCATTCTCGACTCTTATTCCTTGTCTGAATTCAGTTTTCCCCCCTCCCGCGCGGAGCGCGGAAGCTTTGACCTTTCATAGTTTAATGAAATTATTAGAGAAAGAAGATAATTCGTTGTTCCATTCTCGACCCTCAATCCTTCTCTGAATTCAGATTCGTTTCATTAAATTATTAGAGAAAGAAGACGATTCGTTGTACCGTTCTCGATTCTTAATCATTGTCTGAATTCAGTTTCAATACCCCCTCCCGCGCGAAGCGCGGAAGCTTTGACGTTTCATTAAATCATTAGAGAAAGAGTATCGTTCTCGACTCTTAATCCTTGTCTGAATTGAGTTCTCCCCCCTCTCTTTCGCGCGAAGCGCGGAAGCTTTGACGTTTCATCAAATTATTAGAGAAAGAAGACGATTTGTTGCACCGTTCTCGGTTGTTAATCATTGTCTGAAATCAGTTTCCCCCCCCCGCGCGAAGCGCGGAAGCTTTGAATCTTCATTGAATTATTAGAGAAAGAAGATGATTCGTTGTCTCATTCTCGATTCTTAATCCTTGTTTGAATTCATTTTCCACCTTCCGCGCGAGGCGCAGAAGCTCTGACCTTTCATAGTCAAAGCGGAAGCTTTGACGTTTCATCAAATTATTAGAGAAAGAAGACGATTCGTTGTACCGTTCTCGGTTGTTAATCATTGTCTGAAATCAGTTCCCCCCCCCCCCCCCGTGCGAAGCGCGGAAGCTTTGAATCTTCATTGAATTATTAGAGAAAGAAGATGATTCGTTGTTTCATTCTCGACTCTAAATCTTTGTCTGAATTCAGTTTTCCTCCTCCCGCGCGTAGCGCGTAAGCTTCTGACGCTTCATTAAACTATGAGAGAAAGAAGATGATTCGTTGTCTCATTCTCGATTCTTAATCCTTGTTTGAATTCATTTTCCACCTTCCGCGCGAGGCGCAGAAGCTCTGACCTTTCATAGTTTAATGAAATTATTAGAGAAAGAAGATAATTCGTTGTTCCATTCCCGACTCTTAATCCTTCTCTGAATTCAGTTTTCCTCTCCAGCGCAAAGCGCAGAAGCTTAACGTTTCATTAAATTATTAGAGAAAGAAGATGATTTGTTGTCCCGTTTTAGACTTGTCAAAAATGTTTCTTTGTCTGCTCCTTTTTTCGTCCTATGTCCTCTTACTGCCCCTACCGCCCCTAGCTACGCATGCTTTAAAGTATTGGAAACGCCCCAATTTCAAAAAATGTAATGGAAGCTCTCATTACCAATCATGTGAAAGAATATGTTTTGACTAATACATGATGATACAAAATTTGCCGGGAAACCGCCTACTAATTCATATATTTGGTAAATTTTTTTCTCTCATGGTCTGTGAGAGATATAGGGTAGTCCCATATACATCTTTCTGTGTATAGTGCTTGTAACTTTACGAAGAATGGGCCAAATTTCTTATCATTTTTATGATTCCAGAACCTTGCAGATGCTAGATGCTAGATGATCAACCTTTTCTGATTGATTCCACAACGTTTCTTTCACAATGCAATCGCATGACCATAACTGGTCTTTACCTTTAAAGGGAAAATGAAACAATCATGATTGTGATAGCATACAATTAGGTCAGTAGAAATGAAAGGGGAAAAAAGATCTATGTATACACCAACCATGAAATAATCGCGACCGGGAGCGTCATATCTTAGTTTTGTGTTATCGGGCGAGGGCCGGAGCGGAGCGACCAAGCGAGATTTTGCAATGTAGAATGCTGAAATTATGCATTCTAGAAAATCCTTTAGTCCAATATGTACGTTCTTTCCGCTACATGTATATTTCTTTCTAGCTATATATCTAAATTTCCGGGGGGACGTGTCTCTCTATCGGGCCCAGGGTCGCCGCCGCTGTCCATTATCACTACCTACATGAGTTCAAATATAAGCACAAGCGAGTTGGTATGAGCTGAATCCAAATGAAGGGCAAAATAAGAGTTGTGAAGCGGCCCTACCGTTAATTTAAAATTTGACTGTTTAGTATATAGCTTTTATTTGAAAGACATCCAAAACATTGTGCCCAGTTTTTTTCAAAAAGCAGGGGCTGTTTGTAACGTTCAACTTTGAATCCGTGGCTCGAGATTTTATGCGGCCGGCCCGGCCCCCTCTATTCAATAACGTTTCCCAAGCCTTCTGGAATGACCCCAAATCTCCCGATTACAGTTTTTCCCTTATTCGTCGTTACTGTCACTTAGCGCCACTTCCTTGTCTTTCCCCCTTTCTCACCCGACTTTTCTCTTCCCCTTCCCACCCCCCCCCCCCCCCCCCCCCCCCACCCACTCAGTGTTATCTAGGGTATGCGCATGTATGTTCCCTCTCTTAGTTTGAAAGCACCCCTTTATCTTCGGTGTGTATAGTCAGTGCGGGCCGGATTTGTGCGTATTACGGGCCGGACTTTGTTGCGTGAAAAGTAACCCTTTATCGGAAATTTTGGGAATACAAAATCGGTCCCTCCGACCCCGGAGTGGGAGTGAAGAGGGGGGGGGGGATCTTCTTCTTTTTTTCTTTCTCTCTCTCTCTCTCTCTTCTTTCTTTTCTCTTCTCTTTTCTTTTCTCTTCTCCTTTCTTTTCTCTTCTCCTTTTTTTCTTCTCTTCTCCTTTCTTTTGTTTCCTCTTTTTTTTTTGCGCCGCCAATAGGGGGGGGGGCCGCGGCCGTTTCGGCCCCCCTGGATCCGCCACTGCCATGCATGCTTAGCAACAAACCACACCCCTCCCATGTCCCTTTAACATTCAAGTGAGACTAGCTATAGCCCTTGAACCGATAGGCCTGCAGAGATACGTGCACTGGAGGACTCGAACAGGACAGATCCGATTTAACATCTGCTCAATATATTTATTCCGGAGATATCTAAACAAAGAAATATAGCTCAAATATTCAACACATGTTTTTTATACATCTGTGCCACAGACAAGATGGGTGTCATTTTAGTAACCTACTAGTAAAGTAGGACACTGTTGTGTTTCATACACATTCCCATTAAATTTTGTATACCGGATCAATATCAGTAAAATATTATCAATGTTTTAAAAGGTAAAACCGATTCAGGAATTATTCCTACATAGGTGAAACTTTACTTAATCTTCCATGTTAATCTTCCATGGAGGGGGAGAGTGGAGGAGAGGGGGAGGGGTGGGACCAAGGTCTCGGATAGGACATTAAAGGTGCTATGTCCCATTCAGTGGCGTAGACAGGTCTGTACACCTGGGGGGGATGACTCAGGGGCGGATCTAGCTTTTTGCTAAGGGGGGTTGACAAATAATGACGATGCGGAGCATCGTCCACGAGCCGCGAAGCGGCGAGCCGATTTTTCGGGGGGTGTTTATTTGAACCCCGTAAGTGATGTTTTCCTGGCATCTATTAACACAATGGAGACCATAAAAAGCAGTGCATGATAACGTCTTTTTAAATCAAGTAACAGTTAAATACACAGATATATCCAGAGTTATCATGTGTTTGGTTAAGTTACCAGATGAGTTGAATATCTTTTCACAATATTTGCACTTGAAAGGGTTTCTCTCCAGCGTGCGTTCTTTTTTCTTTCTTTTTTTTTTTTTTCTTTTTTTGTTTGTTTGTTTGTTTGTTTTTTGTTTTTTGGGGGGGCCGCCCAAGGGGGGGGGGGTTTAAACCCTCTAACCCCCCCCCCCCCGTAGATCCGCGCCTGTTTAATCTTGTGGTTATCTTGTGGTTTCCAAACCACAAGATAACCACAAAATACTTGTAAGATTTTCTTTTCTTTTACCGTCTGAATTGGCTTTCACCGTGTGAATGCGGCTAATAACAATAAACACAATTACAATAATGATGAGGATTATTATTATCATCATCATAATTATTATTATTATTAATATTATAATTGTTATCATTATTATTATTACTATTATTATCATCATTATGACTTATTAAGTAAGCAAATATCATTCCCCAAACCTGGGGGGGATGATTGTACATGCCATCCCCCCCACCTTGTGAGGTAGGGGGGATGCATCCCCCTCATCCCCCCCATTGTCTACGCCCCTGGTCCCATTTGCAGGCCCCAAAAATAAAAAGGTTCAATTCCAATGGCATTTGAAAGATAATACTAATTTAGAACTCCCCTTAAAAAAATGGGGCTTGAAAATGTTTTTAATTGGGAAAATAACGACTATTAGTTGTCAAATCGACTTAGGAGCTGTAGAGCCAATAAGTAGTTGTCTCGATGTTCAGACCATTGTACCGCATGGTCATACGTTTTATGCTGCGCAAAGATTCAATCAGTTTAATTGTGGCCACTACAAGAAATGGGTTATTGATGTAGACAAATCCTTTACAGCTCAATTTATGTATATTATTACCACAGAAGAAGAAAAGGCCAATCAGTCACTCAATATTGACAATCGTGTCTGACAGTGAAGTCTAGCAAGTAAATGGGTTTCCTTGCATAATTTGAATATAAGGACACTGCTAACGTTTAAATTTCACAGATAGGACATACATAACATATTCATAATTCCTGCAAAGTTCTACAGAATTTGAGGTTGGCTGCAAAAGGGACATAGTATCTTTAAGTGAACGTTTTCAATGCTCATGAAAGTCACCCCTATGATCCTATTACAAGTTCCAATAATCAGAATCCATTGATAAAGTCATGCTTCTAAAGCAGCAAGAGTTAAGGAGGAGAAACAGAGAAGGAAAGATAGAGAGAAGGGGTGGGAGGAGACAGAGAGAGAGAGAGAGAGAGAGAGTGTGTGTGTGTGTGTGTGAGGGAGAGAGGGTGGTAAGGAGGGGAGATAGAAGGGGAGAAAGAAAGAGAAGGAGAGAGAGAGAGAGAGAGAGAGAGATCAAAACAACAACAAAAGTTTTTTTAAAATCTTCCGTTTGGCAGAAGTATAATCGATGTTGATATGGTCTGCCGCATTCAATGTTATCTCAAACATTTCCAAGCGAATGGCATTTTGATAAGGTGTAGTTTGTGTTCGGAGATTCAGGTCTGTTTCCATTCCGTATTCATGGTTTTAAATTTGAACACTTACTTCATAAGCTCTGAAAGAAGATTATTATGGATATTTGCACAACGCTGATAATTTTATTTGGTAAGTGCATAATGGACTATCTTTATCTATTAGATTTGTTATTGCATCTTATTTTGTCAACTTAAGTAGCATGGATATCCTGTATTCGTCTTATTATACCCACACATTCCTCTCTGCGTGTGGGTGTGTGTATGTGTGCGTGAGGTGTGCGTGAGCGGTTGTGCGTTTTTTTTTTCTCTCTCTTTCTCTTTTAAGTGTATGGAGTCGGGCTAACTCAGACCAGGGGACAACTCGGCCCAGGTACAAAAACGGTCAGTTTTTGCATGCCTTTAGGTTTAGGGTTAGGTTTAGGGTTAGGGTTAGGGTTAGGGTTAGGGTTAGAGTTAGGGTTAGAGTTAGGGTAAAATGACAAAAAATGACCGTTTTTGCAGCTGGGCCGAGTTGTCCCCTGGTCCGAGTTAGCCCGATCCTATGATATATATTTTCCTTTATTCTGCCCTTTTTTCCCTTCTACTTCCCAACCTTGCCTACGATGTTAAAAATACCTCAGTTACTGCCTTTCCCCACCGGTTAGGATTTCAGTAACCCTCCCGTCATTGCTTTATATCTATGCGTGATTCCTCATTTTGTCCAATATAAAATTGGTACAGGTAAACATGTATCTCTCTTTATCCTAATCTTGCTCCGAGAATAAAACTTGTATATACGTCTGCAGTATAGCTAGCGCTATTCATAAAAGCCCCGAATACTAATGATGTTTGCCAAAATTCCATACCTTCAAGAACGTTGAATTGGTAATGCATTTATGAATCATCTATTATGGAGATTTCCCAAGCATTCAATATTATTATTATGACAACGATAATGAAATCTCGCATTAGCGTGGCCATTACCTTGGCAGTTTGAATAGAGTTTGGAATTTTCTTTTGCGAGATATCGGCAAATGCAGGTTGAGTCAAGAGCAAAATTGAAATGTCTATTGCGATACAAAAAAACATTAAGACCCGAATTTACAACAGTGGTACAAAGAGGGATTGTACCATGGGTGTGGTACAAAACCCCCCTCGGAGGTTTAAACCTCTGATTTTCTGATTCACAAAGCAGGTTTAAACCCCCTGGGGGTTTAAACCATGGTTTCAAAAACCCAGGAGGGGGTTTAAACCCCCGGGGGGTTTTGTACCACTGTTGTGAATTCGGGCCTAAGTCTTCATGCATTATTGTACCTGAAATTATAAATCTAATTTCATATCGACCGGGTTCTTGCTATCTGCTCATTAAACACATTACTAAATGCCTTTCAGGGATATAAAACCATTCATCATAATACAATGTCCACTATGGAAAGACTTTACACTTCAATTTGTTAATAGGTTGGATATATTATTCAAACACAGGCGCGTACACAGGGGGGGGGGGGGGTTGGGGGGTTAAACCCCCCCCTTTGGTAATTTTTTGTGTGTAAACCCCCCTAAATTGCCCTAACCCCCCCCCCTTTTTGCCGACTTCAAAAAGATGACCTTACCCCCCCCCCCCCCAACGGAGCAAAATGTCAAATTTTCAAATTTCGATACCAAAAAAAAAAAAAAAGTGTCCTGTTAATAAAATATTTTGGGCCAGATTTTAAACCCCCCCCTTGAAAAAATCCTGCGTACGCCCCTGTTCAAACATGTAACTGGATCGGAGGTAACTAACATACACAACAATCAAAACAAATATAGGTACTTTTTAAACCTCCTTTTTATTTAATACAGAATTGAAGTTTGATTCAACCCTTTTCAATCTCATGAGAGAAGAAAAGAAGCGAGTACCTGTAAATCTATATATGGGGTTTATGTAGTATATAGTATTAAGGGTCCTCCTTAATCATAATTATTTGAGGTTCTATTGATATAAGCAAGCTCCTCCTTACATCATTGATGATAATATAATAATAATAAATTATATTTCTATAGCGCATTATATAAGGTATGTCTCTATGCGCTTTACATTGTATTACAAGCTTAATTAATTACATGCATCTACTATTGAACTATCCTCAAACAAAAATTCTGACAAGATCTTAACTAAAATAGTACAACAGTAACTAGATAGATAAACATTATAATTCATTCTTAAATAATGATACAACAATTATGGTTCAAGATTTTATTCATATATTACAAGTTGTAGACATATACAATTTCAATTGAAATTATAGAGATTGAGATTATAATGTGGCCCAAACATGTGGAGCAATGTGAGCAGCGCTTTGTAACTGAAAAGGAAAAAGTGTTATACAGATGGGATAAGGTGTATCTGTAACAAAGAATTTATAACTGGGAAACAATTTTGTTTATATTATATCTTAAAAAGAGCATAATAAAATATAATTCTAGTCAAATTTACTAGTCCATTTTATTCCCGCGTGCCTTATTCAATATATTGGGACCAACCTTTCCATCATAGATCATCATTATGAAATGTAATATCTTTCACCACCTGTCTGGGATGTTTGGTTATGTAAACAAGTCGTGAATACAAGCTCGCGCCACCCCCATTGAATTGTGTGTCTAGTATCCTTAACATGGGTTTCAACGTTTCAATGGGATGTCGGTGACCTTGTACTAACATTGCCCTAGCTACAGATGTTGACCTATTTTTCATCTATAAAAATAATTATTGGACGTCTATCAACACAACTATTGTGTTGATCGACGTCCAATGTCATGTTCTATACATTGAATTGTGTTTTTATATGAAGAAAAACAAACATTTTACAATGCAGCATTGTTGGGTTATTATTATGGGGGGGGGGGGGTGGAGTTTGCATCATGAAGTGATGGCGTAGCATGAAACAAAGCTGGGGGTGGGGTCTTTAATATGGAATACATGAGAGAAGAAGAGAGTATGAGGGCTACCCCCCCCCCCCCTACCCCGGTCCGTTCCCCCCCCCCCCTCTCTCTCTCTCTCTCTCTCTCGATCTCTCCCTCTCTGTCTTTCTCTCTCTTTCTCTCTCTATATAACTCATTCTCTCTATCTTTCTCTCTCCTTTCTCCCTAACTTCCTTCCACTATTCTTAATTTTCATTCAAGCTTCTTAAAATTTGTGTTCTCAAACTTAAAGAGGAGGCTTATTTTTATGGTGGACTAGAATACAGCTCAACCATTTCGATTATCCCATTTCATGGACACACGGTTTGAAGAAGAAGTAAATAACAATCTTTTCAGTTCTTTTGATATCTTGCTATCCATGGCTAAATCCATTCAGTAAGTTGCCTCCATATCCAGGATAGGTCCTATTCAAGTAGGTATTTACGTCGGTTGACATTTGAGAATAGCATTATTTTCTTTACTCGCGTTTTGAAGAGATTAGCATAATTCACTATTATAATATAGGGATGAAAACACCATTGAAATATGGCTCTAATCTGACGGTTTCTGAAAACCAAAACTTTTCAAATATGCGAGGTTGTGTGTTTGTGTTTGTTTTTGTCAAAAAAATACTTTTCACGATCCCTATCTCGCCCTATATAGGTATCGCGTCGTCTGCTACGGGCCTGCGTTGTTATCAATGCACCAGTGATCAGTCGGGCAGTGGACCATGCGTTGATACTCCAAACACCCGCAATATGCAGGTCGTCGAGGATTGTAAGGGTTCATGTTATGTAAGTACTATCGATATAAAGCAATTCATGGAAAGAAAAAAAGCTTATAGTTTGGGAGTGGGAGCTGTCCAGAAATGGTCACCCGCCTTGCCCATAACACTTGACCCCTCAAAGTTACTTAGACCATCTAATAAGTCAGTGATAAAAAGCTTGTCAGCCTGACTTAAGCGATTCCTTGCAGGGCCCCCAAAGTCCCCGAAACACACCCCAAAGTTGGGTTAATTCCACCCAATCTACCTCAGGCACCAATTTCGGTGTTTGGTCAATATGGAATATAATTGTATGCATATACAATTTCTTTGAATTAAATCAAATTGATTAAACTTTATCATTAGTATCTTTTGACTTCTGAATTGATATCTAATTTGTATAGGCATATTATGTAGCCTATCGGGTCCATAGAGATGCAGTTACCAAATATCTCTTCAAGTTAATATTAACAAGAGATAACGGTTAAGATGTTATCAAAACAAAACAAAAGCATGTATAATTTACAAAGTAAAGGTAACAAAACAAAACAAATTAACCAAAATATTTTAAGTACGGAAAAGAGGAAGACTGTAACAGGCCGTGTTTGTTATTTTCTGATATACCTGCTTGTATAAAACATAAAAGTCTTAGTTAAGTCATAAATATGATGACATCTCCGCAACTAAATGCAAGTCCAAATACGTGACTCTGATTAGTTGAAAGTCAGGGATTGCATTTTCTTTTTAAGTTGCGTAAAATCATTTTTTTTCAATTAAAAAGGTCCCAGATGGAAGAATGGAATTTTGAAGAAAAAAAGGTATACATTTTGATCTTATATTTTCATCTTGTATTGTAACCAGGTTTCATACAGTCAGTCTAGCTCTGGCAGTGGTGTTGTGACGTCACGCGGTTGCTACAGCAGAAAGTGGTTCTGCCTGGAGACTTGCCTCGGTCTCTTTGCAGACATCAACAACTGTCAACATTGCTGCAGCTGCAACAACTGCAACGACATAACGGCATCAACTTTAGGAACGTTTGGCGATGACTTCGACTGTAGTGCGACCACTCCCGAGTCGACAACGACGGTGGCGCCAAGTACGACGACGGTGACGACACCCGCCAACGAACAGGGTGAACCCCTACCACGCAGTCAAGCGTGGAGAATGAACATGTCATGGCAAATATTGCTTATATTCGCTCTCACTACGTCTATGGTTATACTTTGACATGGGTAGCGAAATTTATCCTAATTATATGTATTATAATTACTACTGGTCACAGACTTAACTCAATGATCATCACTTGAACTAGCGTGTGACAGATTTCCGACCTATTAACGAGCGAGCAACAAAAAAAAGAAAAAAGAAAAAGACTACATTAAGAGTGCTCTTTTCAGGTGACAACTAATGGCGAGGTTTTAGTTTCTAATATTGATTGGCGGTAAAAGGAGTATTAATACTGAAATAATAGAGTGCCCATTATTAAGGTTGATGTGGTTCTAATTTTAAAGGCGTATAAATAAGACAAATGTATTTGGATTATATATAAACTGTGCATTTATGGTCGGGGCTGGGGGGGGGGGACAAATTTTTACTTTCAAGGCGCATGCCGATGGAAAATAACTAGCCATGGACATTTTTTAGTATATTAGAGAATGCATTTCTCTTTCGTTTGTTTATCAAGGCCATGCAAGGAAAACATGAAAGGTGGCCCTCGTAAACAGGTGGCCTTTATAGAAAGGTGGACACTGAGCCAGGTTCGACTGTATTTTGTACGAGAATTACTATTTTCGTACCTTAATTTTTCATACCTGCCTCCTTCTTGGTCAGTGTGTCGAACTTCGATATATAAAAGATACAGATTATTAAGAAATATGGTCCAGAGAGAGGTGAAAAAGGCTAAACTCGATTACTTACAAAGATAGAAGAAAATGAACAAGATTCGAAAAGGCTTTGGCAGAATCTAAAAAGCTTAGGATTCAAAAATAAAAAGCGAAAAGAACAAGAATCTGTCATTAAAATTGATGGGGAATTATGTCATGATAAGATGGCCATCGCTGATGAATTCAATTCTCATTTCACAAATGTGGCTGCCAAATTAGTAGACAAACTCCCCCCTTCCAAAGACTTTTTCAGCGCAGACAATGATTGTATTCGTGATTTTTACGAAAGAAAAGGTGAAAACAGCTTTGAGTTATTACCAATCAGTGAACAATTTGTTTTCAAAGAGTTACGTATTACGTAAGTTGAGTGTATCAAAAAGTACTGGGTTAGACATGATTCCAGCTAAATTCCTAAAAGATGGTGCGAAGGTTTTATTTAAGCCTCTAAGTTACTTAATGAACCTATCTATCTTGACGAGTACTTTTCCAGAGGATATGAAAATAGCAGAAGTGACTCCACTTTATAAAAAGAAAGATAAAACTGATGTTAGCAACTATAGACCTATAAGTGTTTTAAGCGTAGCATCAAAGATTCTAGAAAAATCGGTCTGTGTTCAAATTGAAAGATACTTCAAAGAAAATGATATAATTTATGAATTTCAATCTGGTTTTTGACATGATTATTCGACTGAAACATGTCTAATTCATTTGACTGATTATTTGAGGACAGAAACTTTCCAAGGGCGCTTTGTTGGTATGGTGCTCCTTGATCTGCAAAAAGCTTTTGATACAGTTAATCATTGCGTCTTATTGAAGAAGTTACAACTAATGGGTTTTAATAAGGCAAGTTTAGATTGGTTCAGATCCCACTTATCTAATCGACACCAAGTAGTGGCCATTCATGATATTCGTTCCAAACTAATGCCTATAACATGCGGTGTTCCTCAGGGAAGCATTTTAGGCCCAATTCTATTTTCAAGTTATATAAATGATATGTGTATTTGTATAAAAGACTTTAAACTATTATTGTACGCAGATGACAGCGTACTACTCTATTCAAATCCTGATCCTAAATATATTGAGGAAAAGCTCAGTGAACAGCTGTCTACGTGTGTCGATTGGATGACTGATGATAAGCTTTCTTTACACTTGGGAAAAACAGAAAGCATTTTGTTTTGTTCTAAAAATAGTTTTAAAAGGTCATTTGAATTCAAAGTGACACACAATAATCAAGTAATCAAGAGAAAAGATTCTGTGAAGTATTCAGGCATTGAGTTGGCTAGCGCAATTTTATTTTCATCTTTAGTAGAATCAGTTGTAAAAAAAGCAAATTCTCGTCTGAAATTTGTGTACAGGTATCAAAGTTGTATGGATTTAAAAGCAAGACGTACACTCTGTTTTGCTCTTATTCAATGTTTATTTGACTATGCTAACCCTGCATGGTATAGTAACATAAACAAGTCAGATCAAAAGAAGTTGAAAATTATACAGAACAAAATGGTGAGATTTATCAACTGTTCTGGTCCAAGAACTCATGTTGGCTACAGCGAACTTTCTAAAGCTGGTTTTCTTGAAGTCGACCAAAGATCAAAACAACTCGTATTGCATCACGTGCATAAAATATATCATACTAGGTCGAATCATATATATTCGATCCAACTTCGATCTTGTTACTGACTTACATGATTATAATACAAGAAATAGCCGATTCAACTTTAACTTACCAGAAAGAGTAGGTAGTATTGGAAATTCGTTTTATTACAATGCCATAAAACATTGGAATTCCCTTCCCAATGGTGTAAAGGAAATAGAAAACTATGCTCATTTTAAGAGGAAATTAAAGGAATACCTAATACTTGACAGTCAGATAAGAGAAGTAAATGACATGTTATATGATTGAAATTTGTATTCTTCTGCCGGTTCATACTTTTTCATTTTGTATATACTTTTGTTTTCGTACGTTATAGAAATTCTGCAAATTCGTCATTATTTTCCTCTTCTTCCTCCGCCTCTTTTTCTTCTTCTCCTTCTTCCTTTTCTTCTTGTACTTATTATCATTTCTATCATCAGTTTAATGTTGTTATTATTATTATCTTTAATGAGTAATTCTTTTATTTTTCTTATCTGTCTGTAAATAATTATTACTATTTTAACTTATTAATTTTATATGTGTCTGTAAGGGACCCCACTGGAAATAAGCTCTCGAGCTTTCGTGGGTTATCCTGTTCAAGCTGACTTATTTCTGATCTGTTATTTTTGTATATTGTTGTATATTGGAAGCTTGTCGAATAAAAATCAAGCAATCATATATCATCTTGGGTTGCACGGTCCTGTACGTGTAAAACTCTCCTACTTAGTTGTAGTATGTGCTATAATTATTCTTCTTCTCATTCTCTCTCTCTCTCTCTCTCTCTCTCTCTCCCTCTCTCTCCCCCTCTCTCTATCTATCTCTTTCTCTTTCTTACTCCGTCCCTCTCTCTTTCTCTCTCTCTCTCTCTCTCTCTCTCTCTCTCTCTCTCTCTCTCTCTCTCTCACACACACTCGGAACAATTACGTTTAGTTGAATAGATTATTTATTACACTACACATATTTTTTTATTATTTTTTATTATTTTTTATTTTTTGATATCTAAACTGTTGTATGTGTTAATAAAAGGGAAAATGTACATAACAAAGACTTAATATTTATAAAAAATTGAAAGTTTACGAGCGCAATTTATATGACATTATAAATTGTTAAATGTTTCTAATATTATCGTGGTATAAATGTCTTTATGATGCCTTCCAGAAAAAAGTGCTTGGTGGAAGTTGGTGCTGTCTTCTATAGTGTTCTTAATTGTTGATGAATTAATATCAATTACTAAAGACGAGAGCAAAAGCAGATCTTAAATGTTATCATTGTTAAACAAGATATCTAGAATGACTACATTACATTTAATGCTTGTATTACTCATCATTGAGATAAAGGAAAAGTTATCAAAAGTTATCATCAATATCAACATCACTGCTTTATTATTTCCTTCTTTATAAATCAATATCATTACCCAACCACCATCATCAAATCACCACCACCACCATGCAGCACCACTATCAAACAACGACCATCACCACCATCACCACCACCACCACCACTACCACCACTAAACAATCACCATCACTACCACCACCACTACCACCAAACAACCACCATCACTACCACCACCATTACCACTACCCCAAACAACCACCATCACCACTACCAATACCACCACAACCAAACCTCCACCACCACCAAACCATAAATACCAACACCACCATCACCACTAAACCATCAAACCACCACCACTACCAAACTATCACTACCAAACCACAAATACCACCACAATACCACACCAGGCATACACACCAACACCACCATCACCACCACCACCACCACTACCACCACTAGACAATCACCATCACTACCACCACCACTACCACCAAACAACCACCATCACTACCACCACCATTACCACCACCCCAAACAACCATCATCACCACTACCAATACCACCACAACCAAACCTCCACCACCACCAAACCATAAATACCAACACCACCATCACCACTAAACCACCAAACCACCACCACTACCAGACTATCACTACCAAACCACAAATACTACCACAATACCACACCAGGCATACACACCAACACCACTATCACCACTTCACCTCCACCACCAGCAAATAACCACAACCACCAGCACTACCACCACCATGCAGCACCACCACCAAACAACGACCATCACCACCATCACCACCACTACCGCCATCATCACCATAACTGCCAAAACTGATAGAACCATACTCTTCTCCATCCTCATCCTTATTAACATCAATATCATCCTCATCATCATCATCCATTATCATCATCATCATCATCATCATCATCATCATCATCATCCATCATCATCAACATCAACATCATCATCATCATCATCATCACCATCATCATCATCATCATCATCCATCATCATCATCATCATCATCCATCATCATCAACATCATCATCCATCATCATCATCATCATCATCCATCATCATCAACATCATCATCCATCATCATCATCATCATCATCCATCATCATCATCATCAACATCATCATCATCATCATCATCATCATCATCATCATCATCATCATCATCATCATCCATCATCATCAACATCAACATCATCATCATCATCATCATCATCATCATCATCATCATCATCATCATCCATCATCATCATCATCATCATCCATCATCATCAACATCATCATCCATCATCATCATCATCATCATCCATCATCATCAACATCATCATCATCATCATCATCATCATCATCATCATCATCCATCATCATCATCATCATCATCCATCATCATCATCATCATCATCATCATTCATTCATACCATGATTTATGTGTTAATCTTCATCTTTACCAACACTATAAACATCTGGAAACAGAAACTGAAATTACAATGCACCCTTTGCTATTGAGCTTGCAATTTTATAGAAAGCTTTATTTATCAAATAAACCAAATTGGATTGACAATGACAAAATTTAGATGGTAATTTTTCTATGACTACCCTCCACTACCATCCACTACCATCCGAAACATAGACATTCAACGCTGTACGTAAGCTTTGTAAAAAATCAATCTTAGCAGTTGAAGAAATGGCATTTTGTCATCTCTTAATTTGTTCATAATTGAAACTGCTACCGATGATTTCACTTCTTTAACATGATGTGTACTGTATCACTACTAGCAACAACAAAAAACAGATATGAAATTGTTTTATGTCATTATTACAGATAGCAACACAAATTTGTATACTTTTGACCAGAAGTAATCTTAACCTTACACATTACACTGGTATGCGAGTTATGCACCATGATGATCGTAAGAATCGCATTCATGACTTCTTTCAATTTCTGGGTAGCACAATACATAAATAAAACTCTAAAGGAAGAAAAATGGATTTTAAAAATTGATATTTTTATAACCAATATTATTCTCCTAAAGAGGGTACATTATCTATATACTAGGTACAAATATAACTATCTTGAATAGTATACTCCATTCCTTTATAATGCTAAGTCTGTATACAAATGCACACCTAAATTTATTTTGGTTGATGAATTTATACATGAGAATATCCTGTGTAAATATTTAAATATAAATATATCTGGACAAGTAAATCTTGTCTATAATGTGTGCTGATTTTTTAATTGAGCTGTCTAATATCATTGAAATGGGTGACTTGTCCGCTAGATGATTATTTAATGTGATTAAATCAAGTGACACACACTCTAAAACTTGCCTGTACAGTGCAGTGTCAAAGCTTCAGAAGTTACACATGCATTTTCAGAGCTTGGTATCACACTAATACCCTATATATTTGAGGTGGCAGCAACATTTATATAACAAACAGTAATATATTTGTAAAGGGTATCTTAATAAATGTTTACCTTTGAAAGTTAAAATATCTCATCTTTAGGTGGGATCATAGAATGTCATTACATAATCTGATTTCATTTGAAGTATGATAAAGGGACCATACCAGTATAGATAATTGTGTTTGGTTTTTTTGGGCCAAAGCAAAAAAACTCTAAGGCCTAATAACTATGGCACAAACATAATGTATCGAAAATAATATCGCTAGTGATATTCGTTTGTCTCTCAATGTGGTCAATAAGGAATCTAAAAGATCACGACGTTTTGTGCGCTATCTGCAACACTTCGTCAGATGATAAAAACTAATGTAAGCAAGGGTCTTTTATACTTTACGGGAGGACCGGCGGAGCAGTCCATAATTCGATCGATAATTGGAACAATAACGCACAATGCCTATTGGTCGACGCACACGGTGATCGACCAATCACCAGGCCACTGGTTCGGCCGCTGGTTCGGACAAACGAATATCACTAGCGATATTATTTTCAATACTACATCCGCAATGAGTAATATATTTAGCATTAAACATAATGTACTTTGTAATATTACTCATTGTTTTTTCATGACCATAAATCTCTTTATTCATGGCAGTAAAAAAAAGAATCTGCAGCACAAGTATTTCAAATAATGGACAAATCATTGTGTTAAGATTAATAATCAAATTATGTCACCAAACTAATTAATTAATTATTAAGAAACAGCACATCCACAGCTTTGTGTACTAATCAATTACTTCACAAAAGCTCCATTGGTACAATCAAAACAATTTTCGCTTTAGCATAGAGCAGTGGAAAGTAATGACAACAAGATATTAATGCCTGCTTAGAACCAGAAGTGAGTTACCTCATATACCTCAACACTCTGAACAGACAGTATTATGTCATGGTGTGTTCGACTGGGAAACAACATATATTAAGAAACACAAGAATGCTTGTATCTACCTACCATGGATCATCGTAATCCATGCTGTTGCTATATAACCATGCAATATCGTACCCATGCTCATACAAAAGCATCTATACTTTCCTCTGTACAATGTGTAATAATCATGATTATGCTTAACGTACATACAAACAACTAGAATATAATAAATATATTTGAAAGCACAAGCATAAAAGAATTGTCACTACTCAATTTTCAATGGCCAACCAAGCCATCTTCATTTACCCATAATAAGTTCAGTCCAAAATAGTTCCCTAAATTTCATTGTACCGGTAAGCAATTTCAATACTTTGTTGTACTTCATACATAGAATATCAACAATAAATTGTAAGATTTGCATATGTTCATACACGAATACTACTTTTTTGGGAAATAATAATTATAGCCATGTACATACTTATATAATGTGGATATAGTGTGATATTTGTGCATCTGAATATGGATATATTTTGACCATTGTGCAATTTTGCATGTATTACTGCCAGCCATACATACCTTACCTAGCGAGACAATTACTTGAGTGACTAGCTTTCACTCAACATACTTGTTTTAGAATAATCAGTATTCTACACGAGAAATTTATAACAAGTGTAAATAATAGGGTACATCAAGTAAAGAGGGTAGATGGTATGAACTTTAATAATAATATTGGATACTTTTTTGCAGTGCACATATCCACCATGCAAGGTGCTCAAGGTGCTCCAATATTACCCCAGCTCTGCTATGCTATGCTACCGATTGCTTCCTACCGGTACCCATTTAACACCTGGGTGGAGAGTGGCCAATGAAGATTAATATCTTGCCAAAGGATATAAGTGTACCGGTACATGAATGGCTCCGTTTCCGTAATTTTCTGTTATATATCAGAATGTCACTGCTAACTGCAAAACTTACGTACTTCTCATTTTATGATTAGGATTATTCACAAGTATATCAATACATCCATTCCCACCAATATTCACCCCGGATAAACACCCACTCATACATACAGAACTCCATGGTCTATCTAAAAACATCATCAATGAGACGCTTGAAAAGTGTTTGAATTAAAAATGTATAGCTTCTTTTAACCCTTCATCAACCACTGATCAAAATTAGGATATAGATGATAGAGATTATAAAATCAGATTAAATATTCACTTACTCTAATCACAATAGACATGTACAAATTATTCAGATACAATCTATTTACATGTATCTAAGAAAGAAATATGAATAATCATAATGAAATTCTGTAAAAAATGCAGACTACAATGTTGGCCTCTATATACATATAACTACTGACTATCCTTCATATACACACTATACACATATTTCATTTTGAAAATAAACAATGTCGCTTCAGGGAAACAGGAACTCATAGCTCTTACACAGCTAGCAAAGCTCCACAGCATTTTTGGTTCACCATGCAATAACCAACCCCAATCCCTACATGATGGCTGTAAAATGGAGGACGACTGTAAAATGAAGTCTCGTGTCCAACAAGGGTGTATTTACCCCTAGGTCCTTTCTTGCAATACAGGACACAACTCAATCTTTTCCCATTCAAGTGTGGTAGATCTTCTTCATCAGGGATATAGGATTTTAGGTCTTACAAGGTTGTAACTTCATAACATGGTTCCTTCTTGGTCAGAAAGAGGGGCTTCAAGACTTCTTCTTAAGTCAGTACACCAGCCCGGTCCAGAGGAGGACACAGGACCTGGCCTTAGCATTGAAACCCTCTAGGTCTTTGGGGGTACAGAGTTCTGGGAGGAGGGGTAGACTGAATGGTGTGGCTCAAGGAAAACGCTTTATCTCTCTCCAGGACAGTGTGATAGATGTTCTTTAAAAGATATTTTGGGGAAACAGGATTCTAGGTCAGTCTACAATGTTGAAGCTTCATACCAAGTTTCCTTTTATGTACAGAAATTGGGCTACAGGATACAACTTGGGAAGCAATTATAACAGACGTCTTCTTGGTACAGAGACAGTAATTGAATTCCTAAAGACCGCATAAAGGGAATTTCTGATATGTTTTGAGTCCTGACGGGATATAGATTCATACCAACTTCCCTTCTGATTAGAGAGATAGGGTTTGAGTGTATACAGGGAAGCAGGGTTCTATTAACATGTTGTTATTCCATACCAAGATTTCTTTGGTATTGAAGAGATGGTTTAATCCCTCTTCAGGACAGTGTGGTATGCGTTCCTCAAGAGAGCATATGGGAAGCAAGACTCAAGGAGGTCCTGAGTCAGGAATGGTGATTCTTTCACAATCTAAAGAAAGAGGGAGAAAGAGGAAAAATAAAATGAACATATATGGGATGCTGTTTGGAGACTACAAAATACTTCAAGTAGATAAATATCAAACATCGTTATGCAAGCAATTATAAGTTGGAACATCAAGAAATATGGAAATTTTGATGGCATTGTAAAATCTGACAACAACTACATAATTTTGTTTGTGATGTAGTTTATGACATCTTAAAACAGAGGGACGGCATGAAAGCAAACTAAAATTGCAAAATGATGATCTTTCATTTTGACATACTGTAAAAGTTACAAATAATAAGGAATGTAGAATTTTAAAACATCAGAAGTGAGAAAGATCAAACTTGGGTGAAGATCAGCTACAGACAATAACCCATTACCCTTATTCTCACAAGCAATTGATTTACAATCTGTTAAAAAACAGACATCTCTGTGATTTCCACCTAAGCCCGATTGCTCAGTCGGTAGAGCAGTGGTCTCGTAATCGGGTGACCCGGGTTCAAAACCAAGTCAATGCGCTAGTGCCCTTTGGTAAGCCATTAATCCTCATTACCAGGTCCCTCGGAGAGGACCTTAATCTGTCGGTCCTCTTGTTGCTTACTAACAAGCATCTATGCTTTCTTAGCAGTCAGGTAAAATAACCACCACTACTACTACTACTACTATAATAAAAAATGTAGAATTTTCAAGCATCAGAAGTGACAGAGATCAAGACTTGGGTGAAGATGAGTTACAGATAATAACCCATTACTTCATTCTCACAAGCAATTGATTTACAATCTGTTAAAACAGACATCTCTGTGGTTTCCACCCTAACCTGGTTACAACAGAATCTGATTGTTCTGAGGAACAACGCAAGTTACTTACCTGGTCTAGGAGGAGATGAAGAGACTCGCGACCCTTGACAGTGATGGCCTTGTCAGTCTCCTGGCCAAGATGGAGCATGTTAGATGAGGTCAGCTACAATCACAAACAAAGTAATACACACACAATCAAAAGAGTATATGTGATATGGGTGACAAGATAAACACTATGGTCTGTATTCTTGAGAATATAAGTTAAACCTGGCTAACCTCAACTTTTCAATTTCCGTACAAATAATGTAATTGACAAGCACAATTTACTAGGCCAGAAATAAAAATGAGAAAGCAATTTCATAGTGACAAGTATTGCATTTAGGTGGGGTTTCAACCTGGCCTGTAGTTAGGTGGTTAGAATATAGGCCAAAATGCCCATCTACAGTAATGTTAGAGTCAATTGAGAAAAGACTACACCAATAATGATTGCTGACATACGTCTTCTTGGACATCTATGTCATTGCACAAATATTCAGACTTGGTCTTACTTAAATTTTGCAAGGAACATGTACTCTTATGTGTATAAATTAAAAATCATTACCATTAGCCATTACAGTTGCCCCTAGGATGTATGAGCAAATAAGTTTTGCAATACCCTACCTAGTTTCCAATTCAAGAGAAAGAGAGAGAGAGAGAGAGACAGAGAGAGAGAGAGAGAGAGACACACACAGAGAGAGAGAGAGATAGAGAAAGACAGACAGAGACAGACAGAAGAAGAAGAAGAAGAAGGAGAAAAAGAAGAAGGAGAGGAAGGAGAAGGAGAGGAAGGAGAGGAAGAGGAGAAGAAAGAAGAAAGAAGTAGAAATAGAAGGAGAAAAAGAAGAAGAAGAAGAAGATAAAAGAAAAAAAAGAAGAAGGACAAAAAGAGGAACAACAACAAAGAGAAGATAATGACGACGACGAAGACAGCAGGGGCACTTACAGCAAGGAATTCTTGAAGTCTCTCCTCCACATCCCCCCTGCCGTGCAGGGAGAAGAGTGCTCCGGCGATGGCATTGATAGCCTTGGCATAGCAGTGACAGTTGTTGGGATGGGCGTCGTACATGGGGTGGTAGATGGTACCCTCCTGACGGGCTAGGGTTCGGAGGGAGACGGCAACAAACACCATCAGGAGACAGGACTGGATGTAGTCCTGATCTGGATCAACTGGAGTCAAATCAGAAAGCGGGATTCAAAATCAGGGTAAACGTCATATTTAGTTCTACTGCCATTACCTTACACATTACAGTGTGGGAATGAAAACTAGTAACCAGGATAATGTTTGCGCTGCAAAAGGTTAAAAGTATGAACTTAATGCAGCAAATTTTGTTATCATTACTTTAAGAAGGTGTTTCGTAGTCCTTAGAATTTTCACAAAATTGAAACAGAACTATTTTACAAGAATATATCATATTTTTCACACAAACATTACAGGAAATTTGTACATTTCATTCATAGCAACAAGCTGCCTAAGAAATTGAACAGATAGAATAGAGATAGATATATTTATCTATCTCTCAGAACTTTACTTTAGTTTTCTCATAAGTTTGTATTTCTTTTCTTTATATCGCAATCATGCATACTGCCAATTATACAAAAATCCATCTTAAAAAAAGTTATACCCGTTCTTCAAAACATTTCCTGCTTCTTTGGCAGGTCTCTTAATATTTCCAACTCCGAGCCATATAATCTTAAAATTCAACGGGCAGCAGAACCTTGCGCTGTCCCAACTTACTCTCTTTCTCAGAGCGCAGAGCACTGACCAGGACTGGGTCTACATTGCAGGGGAGACCAACACTGTTAGCTAGAGTGTCCACAACGATAGCGTCCTGTCCCGCTGCTCTCACATGCTCCTTGAAGTCTATGATAGCACTGTACAGGAACGGCACCCTGCGAGCCAGGACCTGCAATCATATCATTAAGCGCACAGTTTCTTTGATTTATATTGTCAAGGTGGGCCAGAAATATTTTGGAAATAACGTTGATGACCAATGGGTATAAAACATACATGAAGTAGAGTATTTTTCAAAATATCCCTCGCTTCCCATTAAGAACATTGTCAAAAATGATTCAATATCTGCCTCATTTGACGTTAATATAAGTATTAATCTGCAAATCATACGTTGTAGTATACGATTACAGATATTATGAGACTTTAATTCATTTCTATGGTCACTGATGCTGTATTATGTGTCTACATATAGCATAACAAGGAACTGAACCACTGTTTTGTTTGTTAATGTTTACTCACATCACTGAGAGCCTCTTGTGTGAGAGCCTTGAAGGCAAGGATGATACCGATGATGTTCAGACGCATCAACAAGTTATCTATATCTGTAAAGATAAAAACATACAGTGTGAACACATCAATAATGACTCCTTCATATATATTGGCGGAAATGTTTTTCTTCTTAAGTGTAAAAGAATGGCTAATGGGGGGAATAGCAGATGCGTGCAACAAAGGTCTTTCATATACTCACTATCTGTGTGTTAAAATGTAATGAAATGTTAAGCCTCTTATGCTTACATAATTCTCTAAAAAAATAATTGCTGTTGTTTAACATACCATATGTGAATGAGCTTCTAGTCGCAGGTGCAATGATATAATCCTAACATTGCATGAACACATCAATAAGTTGTAATGTAATGATAAAATAATGTACCATGACTGCATAAAATGTTGTCAATCATAAAATGATGGCAAATTAGCATTTATGAAATAATATAACTGATTAATGATAAGGCAATATCTATCTAGATCTAAAATTATTTTCTTTTTTGTATAACTGGTCCCCACAACATCTGCATGACAAAACAATTAATTAAAAATGAATTGACTTGACATTATTTTTGCACCAATAGTGTGCTCATTACTTTCCACAGCTACAATTTATGACTATCATACTTTTAAAAGAAAGTTTCTGAATTGCCGAACTACAGCACCTCCACAAGAAACGTTAAGCACATCCATAGAGCACAGAGCCAAGTATCAGATAGAGTTAGTGACTTACGTTTGAGTTGGACTGAGAGTTGGGCCATGACGTCTGGCTTGTCAAAGTTGGTTCTCAGCTGGGTCAATACTTCACGGTTCTCAAGGACCAGTTTCTATTTGACACAAGGAGATACAGTTCATAGAATCAACATTTCATTTCAACTATTCTTCTATTCTATTCTTCTATTTTTGGGGTCATTATGTTATGTCATTATGTCTACTTCTAGTTTCCAAATTGTTCTCATCATTTTATCTTTTCCATATGATTATTGGATAGATTTAGAATCAAAAGACAAAAAAACACAAATGCTTACAATGAGACTATATCTTTCACCTGCCTCCCCCTGTAACATAATATACTCGGTAGTAACTATATCTGTTGACAATCAAGGATGACAAACCTCATAGTTATACAGATCATGGAAGAAATGAAAGTTTTCAACATCAATTCCAATTAGAATCTGTTTTTAGAAAAGTTGTTTTTACTTCCTTCAGATTTAACTTGAACAATTAACATGTTGTTTTTCTACCCTAAAAGGCAGTGCCTACAATAATCATTATGTCTCTATTTGAACCTCCTTCACATCCATCTCGTCCTCTTTAAACTCCATCCTACCTTTAGTTCTCCCATCTGACTAGCAATGTGCCACATGAGACTCTCATGAAGGAACTTCATTCCATAGGCTCCGATCAGCTCTGCTAAAGATCTCAGCTCTGGAGAAAGAAAAAAAGACCAACGCTTTGGTGACTGGTAAATCAAAAACTCTTTATTATTGACAACATCATCATCATCATCATAATCAAAACAAGAATCCTACTCCTTCTCCTCCTCATCTTCATAAATGTTATCACCATACTTATTATCATCACAATTATCATAACAATGATCAGCATCATCATTGTTATCACTACCATCCTCCTCCTCATCCTCTTCTTAAACATCATCATCCTCAACACCATCCATCATCATTAACACCATTATCATCGTCATCATCATTGTCATAACAATCTTCATCATCATCATCATCATCATCATCATCATCATCATCATTATTATCACCACCAACCATCACCACCACCACCACCATTCTCCTCCCCCTCCTCCTCATCATTACTAACATTCTCATCTTCATCATCTTAATTATCACCACCATCATCACTATCACTCCTTTTTCATAACTTCAATGATCAGCACACTTTGAAAACAACACTAAATGCTTTCCAGTCAGCACCGATTGTATCTCGAACACCATTACCACAATCACCATGACCACAACCACAACCACCACCACTCCCATCATCTAGACCCCAAACTAACCTGTGACATCAGTGTACTCCTCAGCATTGAATGGAAGATGTTTGTCTGGAGCCAGACTGATGAATGCCTTCTGATGAGGAGAGTAGATGATGTGACAGGTAGTTACCTTGCGTAGGAAGACCTCCAGATACCTGAGCGTGAAAAAAACAAAATTGTTATGTTTGTATGATACACAATATAATAATAATAATAGGTTCATTTATATAGCACTGCTACTACATGAATAAAGTCTACTGCGCTTAGTACAAAGTATCATATTTTTACCCCAGCTGTAGCTGAGCCACTATAATAAAGCGCTAAAGCATTCAAGGAAATTTCTTCCTACTGGGTATCCGTTTAATTCACTTGGATGGACAATGGCAAATGCAGATTAATGTCCTGCCAAAGGCCATTAGTCTTTGTAAGTGCCATATACTGTAACATGAAATACTGGCATTATCACAATATTGTTGTATACTTTGTTCTTTGGAAATTTAAGATGTAGAATATAACAAGGGTACATTTTTACAACATTCATAACATTTAAAGCCTGCATACAATGTGTGCACCTTCTTCACTCTCTGTCGAATATTCCTACTTTTACATGTTTTTCTGAAGGTTCTGCAGTCCTCACAGATCCCCCTTTTCCCATTCTTGGTACAGAGTAAAAGTGTTGACTTTAAACCAATGCCTTTAAAAAGGACAGTGTCATGGCAGGAATACTATTGTAAACCAAACAATGCACAGTCCAATCCTTATCTAATAACAACAACCCTTCTCTCAATCGGTGATCATCAAGCACTTATAAAAATAAATCATTATTACAATGTAAATAATGATTTGTGAGATTACACACCAGTTTGTGTAGAGCATGGTGATAGTCTTCTCTCCATGACTGTCTTGTTGTTGAGTTTGTTGAAGCATCACGTTGTTGAACACTCGTGTGATGTCAACTTGGACTGATGGGACAAATAGAGAAGAAAAGAAAAGAAAAGGATGGATTAATGAATATGGCACCTAGCACATCAAAACATATGCACTGTTTTTGAGGACCAACTTCTGAAGTCCTGCACTTTTGAAAGATGATGGAACTAATGGCTGTTATTAGAACAGCAGGGCCCTGTCTTACAAAGAGTTGATATTAATCGCAACTATGTACATAAGAGATAGGAGACTGCAAATTTGCGATTGATTTGAATCAATTGAAATATTTAAGAAGAAACTTAAGCACCATTTGTTTATGTCGTATTTTTAATATTGTATAATTATTTTGATGTTGTATAAGAGCGCCTTTAGCAGTCTTTTAGAATAGATATGTGCGCTTTATTAGTTGAAATTATTATTATTATTATTAATCGCAACTGTTTATAAGACAGGGTTCTGGGGGTGTCCACAAAGATCCTAAGTCAAACTTAACTCTAAGTTTAACCCTAAGTTTGACTTAACAATTATGGAAAGACGTTAGCATCTTTGAAAGTATTCTGTAAAAGTTATTTTAAAAGACATGACATGTTGATTCAAATCATTCATATTTTCTATTATCAAGGAAATTTCATGTTCTTGATGTGAAATTTATGAAAATTCTAAAATACTTGAATTTTTGCTTTGAATATATTTTATTTTAAGGCTACAAATGGCTCTCCATAATGTTTAAGTCCAACTTAGATTTAAGTTTGACTTAGGATCTTTGTGAAACACCCCCCTGGTCTAGTATTGGGTCCACTGCTTTACTGCTGGATTTCATTGATCATGAAAAGAGATACTTACCATAGCTCTCGATGCTCTGCAGGACATTCATGTAGGTCCTAACACTGGTGAGAAGCTCCGAAGGTTTAGCTATCTCATTAGTCTCAGGGCTATACATCATCATCCCTACAAGGGCTCTGTAAACAAACAAAAAAATCAAATTAATAGACAAACAAACAAACAAACATAGGACATTCATGTAGGTCCTAACAAGGGCTCTGTAAACAAACAAACAATCAGAAGCCATTCATTCACACTTACATAATGATAATACATGTGACAGTTTGCTTAGTCTACCAAATTGAACCAAGATTAAATACTTGTAGTAAAATGAGAAAGGGGCAACAGAGAATATACGCACAGCATTGAGCATATTGTTCATGGAAATATATTTCTTACTGAGTAGCATTAGTTATACAGTGCACACTAATATGCTATTACACCTGAGTGTATGCCTCTGATAGAATGATTGTGGTGGATCCAGACGAATCTGCTCCCTTTTCAAATGTGTTAACCTTTCCTTTTGCTCTTCCACTGTTTGGGGTGTGTGTTTTTTGTTGTTGTATATACAATGTCATTAGAAAATACATTGCCATTTCCTCTCCCCATTTTAGGGGGGCTAGCTTAGCCACACAATTGTGTCTCTGCGCCTCCCTCCCCATTATGGAAATAACACTGAATGAGCCAAATGGGAAGGACAGAAGAGTGGACTTACTTGGCAAACCTGGCCTCCAGATGCTGGATGAGGTACTCTCTTGGGGCAAACGTGTGCTCCCAAACCATGATCTTAGCAGAGTAGTTGATGGCTGTACACAACTCAGACAGTGAGATGTGAAGACGATCAAACCTACAAACACAAAAGTAAACAATGACTTCATGTTCATACAGTACAGGAATGATAAAAATATATTACACCTTAAAAATTAGAACAGAAAAGTGGTAACAAACTTAACCCAAAATGACTTGATTAAGGCCATAATGTTGCCATTATGGTGAAGAAAATAAAGAATGCATCAATAAGCACTGAACACATATTTCAAACTGTATTAAACAATAAAGATGCACATGTAAGTTTGCAAATACCAATGCAAGATTCTTTTGAGAAATATTAAGTATAATGATATGGTATTTTGAAGACTATATCATAATATGCTAAAAGCCAGATGAGCTTAACTCACCGTAAAATCACAAGTAATCGCCTTTCTGGCTCTCAACAGAAAAAAATACCCCTTTATGCCAAGAGACTTGACATTATAGAAATATAAAAAATAATACCAAATAATATATTTTTGTTTAAATGGCGTTACATCCTACAAGAGCTCATTAGCACTAGAAATCCCACTTGTTCAGTGAACAAAATTTGACATGATCTAGGATGAAACTTACTCTGTCAAGTTTTCTCTGGTTTTCCTGAAGCTCTCAGTCCCAGGCATAGGGTTCTCTTGGAGTGTCTTCAAGCGATTCTTATCCACGTTCTGTTTGGTCTTACGCTGCAGTTCATGCTTGATGTGCAGGGGAGCAGCATTCTTCGGCAGAAGCTGTGAAACAATAAAGAATTTTGGACTAAGTCTTAAATTTCTTTCCTCTCTACCTCTCTTGATCTGACCATTATCACATGCAAACTTATGATGTCAATAGTATACTAGGCTTTGCATAACCAGATCTGATTAACATAAGCTTTAGGAGAAAACTAGCAAAGGTTGCAATTTGATTACCGGCAAAGAGAAGTGTATATTGTACAAGTTCTAATAACGAGTATGTAATGATTTTATGATAAACATGACCGGTCACTTTTGTGGTCAGTTTATTATGATCATGTACATGTAGGATGTGCAATTATACAAGTTTATCTTGTCAGATCAGATGGCTTTATGATGGTCTCATTGTGTCTTTCAGATATGTGCATTTCTGTTTCGGTTGCTTCTGTTTCGGTTGCGTCGGTAGATTCAGGTTTAACTGTACTTCACCAACGTTGTATGAGTATTTGCTACAAATGTGATTCAAGATGTGTTTAAACTGCAATATAATAAAACATGTGTAAATGAATTGGGGACGCAATCCACGACTCTTTCAACATTTACCCCAAAGCCATGTTTGCAAACCTAACTGAAGTACAATCCAACAGGTCGAATGATGATGTACTGACCTGGTCACTTAGGTTACACTGCTCAGAGCAGATTCTGGTCACTACATCCTTGACCTCCTTAGCTAGACGGTCAAGGAAAGCATTGGTCACTGATAGACTTCGCTCTCCAACATGGAATCTCTGTAATGTCAGGATAAAATAGTTTGGAAGAAATGGAAAAAAGGTAGATAGAATGGTCAGTCAAAGGCAATATAGAAGAACTTTACAAATGGAATACAAATCTTTGATACAGCACAAAGATTAGATAGATAATACAAAACATGAATTCTTAAGATGCTGCTTATAAGTATCGGCTTGCATTGTGATGTAGATAAACAGTCGGCTTGTGGTTGCACCATGTGAGAGAGGGGGGATTGGGGAGTCCTGAAAAGGACTCTCGTAGATAAATCTTGAGTGTGTGTAGTCCTGAAAAAGACTGTTGGTTACCACTCCCGACAACAGATAGTCAGCCTGTTTGAAAGGTTGAGCCACTCCTACCACCCATCCTCTCCAACCGGCGCTATAGCTTTCCTTAGAACTATAAGCTAAGAAAGATAACCAACAGTCTTTTACTTGACTACACCAACAGTCCTTTCCAGGACTAAACACACTCAAGATTTATTTACGAGAGTCCTTTTCAGGACCCCCCAATCCTCCCCCTCTCTCACATGGTGCAATCGCAAGCCTACTGTTTATGAATTATTTAACAGTAACATAATTTTTGTTAAAGGGGGATTCACTTCTTTTCAAAAATTATGGTATCCATCTAAAATCTTGCTCTGAGTCTTTGTCCCAATAAAGACAAATTATAAATGTAGTTAGGAAGAAAATAAAAACAGTATTTAAATAATCAAGAAATAATTCATCATACAATATCTAGATACCACTTTCGATGAATGTATCACTTTTATCATAACAACAGGATTCTACATGGATAAGTGAAAAGCTTCACCCCAGCAATAATTTCCACAGCTTTCAGATTGACAAAATTTGAATATATAGCTAATGTGCATAAAGTTGTTTTATTAATAACAATAATGCGTATCTACTGATTATAAAGTTTGACAACTTCTACATAGAGCGAGAGGAAAATAATAATAATACAACGATTGCCATAAGACCCATTTACAACCTCAATTGTACTTTACAAAATGATGATACAGAAGACTAGTCTAAACTTATGCAAACCAAGCTTAGACAAACTAAAATGATCCAATACACTGCAGTATATATGTATACATATTTAAATTAAAATAATGCATATATGAGACTGAACATATTAGTCTGAAGCAATATTTGGACAAAATGTGGTAATTGGTGGAAGAAAAAAAAATTAATAGTGATGTTCGTATTAATCTTTAAGAGTTATAAATGGAGCAAAGAAAATCAGCCTATTTGTTTGTTGTCTTTTGTTATTGTATCTTGGAAAGAAGAGAGAGTTTGATAAGGTATTTGAAATGAAATCAAGCAGTCAGGAATATTGGAGGTACATCAGTGATACATGGAAATGGGTGCAAAAGAATTTCATACCATTCACAAGAATTTAAATAGATGTAACACCCCACTGCGACAATAAATGCAAATGTTTCTACATATGAGAACTCAATGAAAGATATAACAACAATTGGGGGAAATGAAAGAGCGAAAAGGTGTAGTATAAAAGAGAATCTTTTATCATACGAAAGCATGCAGAGTGTGATAGAAATATACAAAAAATAATACCAAATAATATATTTTTTTTAAATGGCGTTACATCCTACAATAATAATAATCTTTTAAAGTCCACTCCAAATTTTATTAAGTTAAACCGAAAATGATAATTCTTTTTGCCCAATTGATCGTGAGCCCGGCAGCCACTGAGCAGCGCCAGATCGACATTGCTCTATCCCTTATTGTTGAACGCCAAACAAGGTAGCAGCAACTCCCGTCTTTTAACTTCTTTTGGTATGATGCGGCCAGGGTTCGAACCCATGACCACCCGGTTGTGAGGCGGATGCTCTACTGACTGAGCACTAAAAATCCCACTTGTTTAGTGAACAAAATTTGCCATTTACTGCTGATGCCAATAAAAATGAAATGTTTTTAATAGTAAATATTTTAAACATAAATCTTTAGAAAAAATTATTGGGCAATTCCTACGTTTTCCCCACTAAAAATCAGCTATTTTACAGTCCAAATACAGTTAAAGAGGATAAGGAAATATTCTGAAACTTATTGAATGATTCACTGATTTCTCAAATTCTGTTGAAGCTTTACTATGACAAATTGGTCATAACTACCGAAACAGGAACCCTTTCCAGTTATATCTGAAGCAGAACAATTTGGGATAGTCAAGGCAAAAGTAGAAGAAGTAGTTGTAGACGTTACTGGATAACTTGTTTAGCACAAAGCTAATCTGCCAAAAGGTCTTTCTTGAGGCAATAGTCCAATAGCTGATAATCACAGATACACAGGATATACAGGCACATGTAGCACAAGGACTTCTACTGAGAGACACAAAGATACAAGGTCACCATGACGACGACACAGGACATGCCACTCAACAATGCCCTACATACCCTGTCCGTGAAATAAAAGACGGTATCGCGATGGTTGCGTGGGCTTATCTGAAGGAAGGGATTAGTAGTGGAGTTGGGTTAGTAGTTTTAAATAGTCAAAAGAAATCAGAAATGGTCAAGATATCTCAACAAACGAAAATAATAGTGATAATAAGAAGATTATGAATAAGATGGCTATGATGATTGAAAAGATATGCAGGTGATTTGAGACTTAAAATCATTCAGAAGATAATAAGTTAGAAGATAATGTGTTAGAAAATGTTATAAAAGTCAGATTTATTACAAGAAAATACTTTTAGTAGTAAGATATACCTTGCATCATATGCATGTGTGATTACACGTGTAACTTATTTCTGTATGCAACTTTATATATATTCATATTTTACTACTTGTATATATTATGTCCTTATCACTTGTGTGAGTATACTGTATACTTGGCTAAAGCTGGGTGTAGACATAAACAATGGGTATGTAATAAAACATATATAACATATATAAACACAATAAACAACAACAACAACAAAACAACAATCAAATAATAATCTTGCAAAATAGGCGATATCTAGTTATTAGTAGTTCCAGACATTTCTCAATTAAATCCTTCCAACTTAAAAGTACTTGATTGGTATTGCAGAATGATCAAGTCAGTAGAATTTCGATAATGAATTCCTTTTTGTACATTATCAATTGGTCACCTCTTTTTACCGTATGTTCACTTTCAAAATGTCCTGACAGCAGTTCCAAATTGTGTGAAAAACTGTTCCAATTTTCTGTATCACTATTTTAGATTGCATGTTTTTTTTTTTTATTACTAATTGTAATTTCCTTCAAATGCAGGCACTGTAGTATACAAAGATTTTAAATACATAATTAATATACCATAACATTTTAAAAAGAGAAAAAAGGGTGTATTTTAACACAAGTATAAAAACCCTCAACATGAATTTGTCATCATTTACTGAGTGGTATACCAAAGACAGAGAGTGGAATAGCTTAAAACATACAAACAGTTGGTTCTGGGAGTGATAGCAACAGATTGGATGGAAGGAATACAACATCAATGACTTCCAAAACCACATTTTGGGATAAAATCACAACATTTCACCAAAAAGACCAGCATAGATGACAAGAAATACTTTAAAGAGGTTGGGAGATGCTGAATGAAGTACGTTCAAGCATGCCATTGAGGCAATTTGCCAACACACAAACAAAACTTCAATACAGAAGAATCCAAGATCAAAATGACTCAATTAACTCATAAGTTTGATCAAACCAAGCTACATGAATACAAATTTTGTTACATTTTAAAGGATTTTATGCGAGATACCATTCTATCAAACAATTTTCAGGTTTCTATCAAAGCCTTTGATATCACCAGTATTACAACCATAGTTAATGTAGTTTGCTCAGTATTGTGAGCGTCTGTAAATTGACGCCTGTCTGGAATGCTCCCCAGGGAGTGTAGAATGTGCATACATTGTGTATGGGCAAGCCTGAATCGGATGCACAGGGCAATAATATATCTGTAAAAGCGCTTCAAGACATCATTGATGTTAAGCGCTATATTAAGCGCCATATGAAAGCGGAATAGTATTAATATAATTATTATACAAACAGAGCTTTCATTGACAGCTTCATCGGTCTAAGTTGTAACAAGATATTTCCCCATCTATTGACTGTTCTTATCTGAAACCAGATTGAAAGATCTACACTCCCAGTTATACGGAGAAGAATATTTTGGCAATGATACCCTATGCAACGTTGTGTTGGGTGTTAGTAATGTAGGTATTAAAATATTTTTTTTTCATATCGGATTCCATACTCATTTCAGAATAATAATATAACATATTTTCAGCTTTCAGTATGCAGTGCAAACAACACACAAGATTAGTTGAATTAATAAAAACTTTGAGCTGCCAATTCCACATAAAGCCATCACCTGAAGACCTGTGGTCTGTCGCTACAACTTTAAGCGGGACTTGAATGTTACATGAACATCTGTGCCAGAAAGCTTGGGTGCTCATGCCCCCTGTCATTTCAAAGACAGACTGCACTTCAGCAATCAAATCAAGCAGCAGTGAAAAGGTTAAAAAAGGTTTTGATGCTAATTAAAGGCAGGCTTTACTAATTCAGCTAGAAGGGATTAGACCACCCAGCGAGACAGCAAGGTCACTGTGACAGGTGGCTATCTCATTAACTCAGCTCTCATTTAACATAAGAATAAGAAGATCATGGGGGACCAACAGGCACCGATTGGGGAAGTTTTCTATATAGAGGGAGCAAGTAGCTACAAGTAGGACAGTGTGCCTTTAAAGGTGATATAATTTTAATTATATTGGTGTCCAAGAGCTAATTTTGGTGCATGACATGTACATACCAAGCCTCATTATGTACTGTTAATGAACAAATAAATAATACCATGAATATGAAGAGAGAGAAATTTGTATGTTAGTTATATAAACATATGGCTATATGAACAGACCCCATGGCTATATGAACAGACCCCATGGCTATATGAACAGACCCCATGGCTATATGAACAGACCCATGGCTATATGAACAGACCCATGGCTATATGAACAGACCCATGGCTATATGAACAGACCCATGGCTATATGAACAGACCCCATGGCTATATGAACAGACCCCATGGCTATGTGAACAGACCCATGGCTATATGAACAGACCCATGGCTATATGAACAGACCCCATGGCTATATGAACAGACCCCATGGCTATATGAACAGACCCATGGCTATATGAACAGACCCATGGCTATGTGAACAGACCCCATGGCTATATGAACAGACCCCATGGCTATATGAACAGACCCATGGCTATATGAACAGACCCATGGCTATATGAACAGACCCATGGCTATATGAACAGACCCATGGCTATATGAACAGACCCATGGCTATATGAACAGACCCATGGCTATATGAACAGACCCATGGCTATATGAACAGACCCATGGCTATGTGAACAGACCCCATGGCTGTTAGAACAGACCCATGGCTATGTGAACAGTGTCTTACCTCCTCAGGACACAGCTCATGTGTGCAGTTAATGAAGTGAGCGCAGATGAGGGGGAAAGCAACCGCAAAGCGAGACTGGGTCGGGTAGCCTAACGACATCTCAAAGTTCTTCTCAAAGATACGGCTGTGATGACTGTTGATGAGGCAAAAATATAAAAAAGGAATTCAGCTATCGATCATTTGCACCAATCAAATATATCTAAAGAGGCAAATTCTTCATAGTACCACTTAACCTCAGTAAGTTAACAAACATCCTTTAAACAACAAAATTTTCACGAGAAAATAATTTGATTTTCACATTTTGTTTAAATAGGTCAATTCAAAACATAAAAGAAACTCACAGTAATTGAAAAAAAACAGTATAATGTACTTGTTATTGTTTTGTTTTAAGCACAAAATATATAGTAAGATGATATAAACTATAAACAACCTAAACAAAGCCAGGTTTGGGATACTAACCCGACACTGTTGACCCTATCAGTATGTTTCTCTATAGATGTGTACCTAGTATTGAGATAATCTTTTATTTGATAGATAACAAACTGGCATGATAAATAAGAAAGCCTAAGATGAATAAAAAGCATTGGAGAGATGAGTATTTGAATAGCTCTGGTGCAAGGACTTCCCTGTCTGGCAGAATTTCTCTACAGCCCCATTCATACAGGGCACAATTTCACAAAACAATCAATTGAAATAAATAGAAATAGGTAACATTTCTCGAGTAAAAACCATAGCTTCATGTACTTATATGTGTACTCCATAGGTTGTGGGCAGCATACAACCTGTATCTCATTCAATTTAATTTATAAATGACGACATAAAGAATAAAAAATACAACAAACAATAACAAAGAAAAAAGATTAAGTTAATTGCGGTATACCGCGTCATGTCTGAATGGAGCTGTAGAAGAAGAGCCATGACTTACCAGAAGATGCTAAGATCTGATGTCTCCTGAAGAACCTCATCCGCTGCATCCACCATCAGTGTGTGGAAGATGATGGTGTTCATGGTCCTGGCTAGCTCGGTGTTATCCCCTAGGACCAGGGTAGCACGGCTGATGCTGGTGTAGGCTTGGAGGCGGAACCAGTCCAGACGGAACCCAGTGAAGTCTGGCTGAGGACCTTCTTTCACTGTGGGTGTGGCATTAGAAAGAAGAGGCAGTATATTTAAACTCTTTCCAGATCTGAATCATCAAATCCATTGAATACATTTCATATTGCTACATAATTAATTAATTATAGAGAAAAAATGACAAAATCTTTGGTTTAAAGCGGTACCCGTTGGTTCCCCATGGTCCACTTCTTCTTATGTTAAGTGAGAGCTGATTTGATAAGATAACCACCTGCCAGTGGCCACGTGGGGAGGTCTAATCCATCCTGGCCAAACTAGTGCAGATAGGCTTTCAAAAAATCTCACCAAGATGTACCTATGAGTATAATGCATTATTTCTATTTTCAGTTTACACTACTAAAAATTATATTGCTTGAATTATACGACATGAAACTATATAGAGCTTCTTTAAGCACAGTCCTAATGTATGATGACAATGGAAGATCTTGTGTACAGAAAAAAGAAAAGACAGCAAAAATTCAATGAGCAGTCAAGTGAATCTAGAAAAGAATACACATTGGCTTTGCAGATGTGATCCAGGCAGTTCTAATAAAAGACCTGGGGCCCGTTACTACCATAGAAAACTTGAATTTGATTGGCTGTTGAGCCCTGTTACAATGGTAGTTGCCATTGATGGCCAAGTTACCATCAATGGCAAGTTTGGTGCAATGGGGCCCTGGCATATAGAATCCACTGGCATCCATATGGCAATGAAAATACGAACTTACCATTTTTGATGCTGAGTGATTCAAGGGTCTGTACAAACGATGATAGGATGATGGATTCATCTTCCGGACACATGGTTAGACTCTGTAATGAGAGAGGAAGGGAGGGGTTCATTAATTGTACGTGCCGGAAGTTTATAGTCGACATGTATCATCATTGTGTTAGTGTGGTTTAGTTATGTGTCATACTTGTTGTATACCACAAATTATTAGCCTCTGACATTTGATAGTCTTAAGATAACCTAGATATTTTAATTCTAATATAAAATCTTAAGTTTTGAAACTAAAAAACTACTTCGCTAGGAAAATTAGTCATTATGTGTCTAGACAATGTTCAAACTGATTTAGCTATTTGAAATGATTGTTGTAGACCAGAAACCATTAGCCTCTAACATTTCAGAGAGGTTCTGATATCTTTTTGATAGCCTTAATATATTAAGATATTTTAATTCTAATATTAAATCTTAAGTTTTGAAACTAAAAAACTATTTAGCAAGGAAATGTAGACATTACTTTAATATATTCTACCTCGGTAAACACATTACCAGTACTTTGTTTCTCTTCATCACAGCAACATCAAACTGGTTTCAAGATAAAAAAAACCTGAAATATCTGACTGACCTTGACAATGTTGTTGAGCACAATAGCATCATATCCATTCAGATACTGGATGTAGTAGTCTTGGAGCACATAGAAGTATTTCCTCACAATGGCTAGGATGGAAGAAATATATATCTTTAATTAGAATAAATGGGATATACAACCTACAACATCACAACTTCAATCCCAAAATAAGCATTTTGTAAGGAATTCTCATGAATGGGCTTCAAATAGTCTCTGTGCATTACAACCGCAGGAACATAATGCAATGAATTTCATAAAATACTGATCCCTATCTTATCATTTCCTGAATCAGAGTAGGGTAGTGGACTTTTCAAATAGCTTCCATCTTATCCCAGGTCATTCCTGAATCAAAACATGCTTGAAGATATATACTACAAGGGTTCTATCCTTACTCATCAGTTTGGGATCAGAGTCTAGTCACAATCACATGTCCTTCACCTCTTTAAAGCCCCACTGCACTACTTATAGCTACTTGCACCCTCTATATAGCAAACAATGCCTAATCGGTGACCATTGGTCCCTAATGATCCCTTTTTTCTTATGTTAATTGAGAGCTGATTTGATGAGATAACCAACTGTCAGTGACCACACAGGGAGGTCTAATCCCTCCTGGGCAAACTAGTGCAGAGGGGCTGTAAATCTTTTTCCCTTATCAGTTCTTGGTTCTAATCTCAGCATTATCTAGCACTCCTGTCCTTATTTTTACTAGTTTTTTAACATAGACTAGGTTCTTCAAGAATAACTCCTATCCGTTTTTGGATCTGGTCTAAGACTTACCACAGTCAGGTCTAAGACTTACCACGTAGCTCTTCGATGTAGAAGAGCAGTTCCGGCAGATGATGATCCACCAGGTCCTCCATGACAGGTTTGTTCTTAAGCTTAGGGTGAGGGTGCTCAGTGTGTCTTACAAGCCAAAGGATCTCATCGCGAGCAAACGCAAGACCCATGAAGACATACAAAGCCTGGAGAAACAAGAAAATATAACCATGAGGGTGGTGTTAATAATATGAATTTTGTCTTTCTTATAATTCAGAGGTAATGTTATAGCATAATTTTATAGTTCAAGAAACACTCATATCATGATAAAATTCTAAATACCAAGTTCAACAAAAATCTTTAAGCTTAATGGCGTTCTAAATGAACATATGTTACTGGAAATATCTACAGATTCTACTTGATATCAGGAAGGTGATTCAGAATGAGACTCTTGCTCTGTGTACAAAATATAATGCACTTTCAAAATCTGTGCAATAAGTACTATGTGTACTGATAGAACTCTACAAAAGCAAATGGAAAAAAGAAAAGAAATTACCACATCAAATTGTCAAAACTTTATCTTATCCTTGCTTTAAAGCCTGTCTGCACTCGTTTGGCCAGGAGGGATTAGACCTCCCTGCATGGTCACTGACAGGTGGTTATCTCATCAAATCAGCTCTCAAATAACATAAGAAAAAGGGGATCATGGGAGAGCAACAGTTACCGCTAAGGCATTGTTTGCTATATAGAGGGCGCAAGTAGCCATGAGTAGTGCAGTCTCGCTTTAAGCAACAACAAAAGGTTGAGATAATTAAAGGAACTGACCTTTGGCCCCAGTAGCCCTGGCTGATCTGTTATGATGGTGATGAGTTCTTTGAGAGCTGTTCTCAGGAACTTTCTTCGTTCTTTGTGAAGGCCCGGACTGGAGAAGAAAGATAGTAACCACATCAGGATAATATTTAATATATTTTGAAAATAACATGAACATTCAGTAAGAGAGAGAAGGGCCAGAACCCATCAAAACAGTTGTTGGAGTTAAAATGTTGAGATAAGGGACTGAACTTTCTGTACTTTAGGGACCATTAATAAGTAAGCATTTACAATATATCAAGATGCCAATATTATAAATTTGTCAATAACTAAAAGTTGTCTTGATGGAGTTGAGCCTTCTTTGTACTCTATTATTACATAGCTTTGATGTATTGACAGACTATATAAGAATATTAAATGAACATGCTTATGTCATGTGAATTTCAGATAGCTACAGGCAGTGAGAAGATGATATGAATAGAAATAAAGTACTTACGCATAACTCAGTGCATGGGTAGCAGCATCCTTCACTTCTTGAGCTTTCTTGCTAAACCTGAGCAGAAAAAACAAAGTATGAATAAAAGCAGAAGGTCAGATAAAATCGACTCCTTCCAAATTTAAAAAAAAATGGAAACAATTGGCAACTACTCAGAGAGTAACAGTTATCAAACTCTATTTCATGTGGAATTTCTTTAAAGGAGACTGCAAACTTGCTATTGATTGGAGGACTTACGATTGATTTGGATCGATTGTAACTCTTTATAAGATGGGGCCCAGGGCAGGATAAAATACAGATTCTCTTTTAAATACAACATTCCTTCCTATCAAGCTACAATACCGTCAGGTATATGGATCAATCAACAAATACCTTGTAAGGCTCATTATGATTTGATGCGATAAACCGCCTGCAAAAATGCCACCATGTTTATTTTTACTTAAATGAATGACAATTGTGTGCAACGAAGGTCCTGCGCGTATTCAGTGAGCTCTGTGTTATAAGATTGAGAAATGTGAAACATAGTATACTTTACATCATCATAAAACAAAACAAGCACGGTTTTGCCAAGTCCTATCTGAAAAAGGATTTATTCCCAAAATAAACTAGCTCAAACTCAATTTCTTACCCTTTGATGGAAGTGAAGAAGACCTCAATGTACTTGTGGAAGACCAGGACCTCATCCCGACACAATGTGATACAGTAAGAGCTCTGTAGGGCGGGGCGCCACAAGGCTAGGGCTCGCTCATTGGTAGTCAGGAGGGTGGGGCATACCATGAATCCAACTGTCAAATTACATAAATGGAGTTTTGAGTTCTACAGTTTTTATACTAAAGGTAATTGTGAAATTTGAATAGAAACAATTGAAAGAAATGCATCTCCAATCTTGAAAAGGTGTTTTGAAGCTGTTGACTAGGTGTAATTAATGCTGCATTTTCAAATTTTGAATTAAAGTCAATCAAAATAAAACCATATATTTTGTTTTATTTTTTGTCAGTCATACTAAAATCATTCAGAAAACACATACAAATGAAAACTAACTCAATTCTATAACCTTCAGCTGTGCTTTGCCTAGAGCGAGAGTTGGGAAGAACACGATGAAGAAGTAAAATAAGGCTACATCAGCTGATGGCATTTCTCAAAGAATAAACTCTAACCTGATAAAAATAAACCAATATACAGTGCAAATTTAATTAAAATCCAAACTTCTAGAAAGTATTCTGTCAGGAGTTTAAGTTTCAAATAGAACCTGAAAAGGTTTGTTTTAGACTGCAGGTAATTTACTTCTAATCTTACAAAGTAAACAAATTCTTCTCTATAAAAAACTCACTTATTATCCATCTCTCCAGCTTGTCAAGGGACAGATATTCACATCTCATCTGCAAATAAAAAAATAAAACAATAGAAAAAAAAAGTGCATGAGTATTAGTCAAGTCAAAAAATGACTATGTCGAAAGAAAGCCTAGATAATCTTGAAAGACACTGTAATGGATCTGCATGGAATGCTCCCCAGGGAGTGGAGAATATGCACAGAATATTTCAATTCAATTCAAATCAACACTCCTTTAAATATACTATTAAATATACAATTGACCAATTACATCAAATAAAAACAATACATTCACAGTATATTAGGAGGTACTGCAATTACAAAATAAATGGATAAAATTTGTACATGATAAGTATTGCAAACAAGGGTGGCTGCCAGAAAGGTGAAGCCCTTATCATTATGTGGCCAAACAATGAAATATTTACATGCAGAGAAAATAGTATTGTAATTGTTAATCAAAAGTGTACAGAAAACCAATACTGATAAATAACAAAATGATAACACAAACAATAACAAAGAAAAAAAGGGTTAACTTAGTGTTTGTAATTAAGTACTGTTGACGTTTTTTTTGTGTGTATAGTGAAATGATAGTGACGACATTGTCTCACAACTTACCGTTTCACTTTGGGCTGGATTGAGAAGGACGTTAGGCTTGGCTACCAGGCTAAGCATCTCCTGTGACCTCCACTGCTCGGCTGTCAGGTTACGACGTGGGTAGAGGTGAAGGAGTGAGAACAGAGCTGAGGCTACACACTGCAGGTTGGGTAGAATGAAGAAAACATTAAAGCAAACGTTAACAAAAATCATAAGTGCGTTATGAGGCTACACACTGCAGGTTGAGTAGAATGAATAAAACAGTAAACCAAACGTTAACAAAAATCATAAGTGCGTTATGAGGCTACACACTGCAGGTTGGGTAGAATGAAGAAAACATGAAAGCAAACGTTAACAAAAATCATAAGTGCGCTATGAGGCTACACACTGCAGGTTGAGTAGAATGAATAAAACAGTAAACCAAACGTTAACAAAAATCATAAGTGCGTTATGAGGCTACACACTGCAGGTTGAGTAGAATGAATAAAACAGTAAACCAAACGTTAACAAAAATCATAAGTGCGTTATGAGGCTACACACTGCAGGTTGAGTAGAATGAATAAAACAGTAAACCAAACGTTAACAAAAATCATAAGTGCGTTATGAGGCTACACACTGCCAGTTGGGTAGAATGAATAAAACATTAAAGTAAACGTTCAAAAATATTAGTTATAAGACAAATTAAAGTCCTACTTGAGTTCTGTACATGGGGTTTCATGTTGTTCTTTAGTTTATTCATGCTGCTTAACCGTTGACCCATAGGATGCTAAGTTAAGTTTTTTAAAAATTAAAGTTGATTTGATGCATTTTAGCTTTACAAAAGTTTTTAGTGTGATTGGTACACTTTAAGGATTGCATTTCACTGCATTTACTGCATATAATTTGATATATTGAATAATCCAAGAATGATCTGCATCAATTAATGATGACTCTTGATGATATGAATGGTAGCATAGACTAAAGGGTGGATTTTTAGTATTTATCACTTACTCTCTCCAAGGGGATGAATTCCTCTGCAAGCTTCTTCATTGGATGCTCGTACTCCATGATCATGGTTCCAAGACGGGCAAACGAGGGCTCACTGCAATAAAGAAAAATCTCCTCTTTTTAATGCTTGATTGAACTACCTGCCGATGCAAAATCAATTTCATAACAATAGCCCTGGAAATGGTCGATATAAAACTTGCAAGGGATTTTAAACATGAAGCAGCATAATTTGTAACTTTGTGTAATATCACTGTTCAACCTCTTTCCTGCATTATAAATCTAGAAAGCTTGGATTCACTCAGAAATATAAATTCGCAAACAATCAGATGAATAGCTTGAAAGAATATAAAATAGAGTTGCAAAATCAATCAGTATTTTATATTCTAAGGAGATGTTCATCATATACCTGCAGAAAATACAGTCTCCATTAGACTTAATTCTAGATTCTTAGCTAATCAATGATATTTGTATATACTTGAGCTTCCCTTTATTAATTTCCCTTAATTTAATACTATGCTAGTCTTACTGCAATTGTATTTGTTTCCATCTTTCCTCATTGTTAACTTAGAAGAGAACACTGTAAATAACGACACCTCGACATTACATGCTAGATTGTATACCTTCTTTGATTGGCTAGATCATAGGCTCGACACTACATGCTAGATTGTATACCTTCTTTGATTGGCTAGATCATAGGCTCGACACTACATGCTAGATTGTATACCTTCTTTGATTGGCTAGATCATAGGCTGTGTTGTAGAGGCCCAGCATGGCTTTCCTGTCTTCCACCCTGGCCAACAGGAGTAAGATGGAGACATACTTCACGATGAGGTCTAGGTAGTTCCTGGTCATGTCAAAGTTACATGTCTAGAATAGCAAATGAGAAAAGAGGGAAACAATAGGATCAATGCAATAGTTACGGTATAGAATATCGAAGGATGATGTCATACTGGCCAAGTTGTCAAGGTTGCTGGTTCCAAACAATTGTGTGCTAAACAATGGTGTGGTGATCACACCAGCGCCAAATACTGAATTTGCCCTGCTCCAGCTCGTTGCTTGAATTATTTTGCAGTGAACCTCATGTACATGCCGTTGTTTAGAACCAGTAATCTGCATGATGAGGGAATATGATGTTACCACTTTGGTACTCTCTGCATGTTGACTTGCAATGCACTAACTGTCATTGTATCAACAAGAAAAGTTCAATTGATCAATTTAATGAATATTTAAAGAATCCTACTTTTTGCACATTTCATATTTGAACGGACTACAAACTACACAATTACATAAGGAGGCTGGAGGATTAAGTTACACCACTATACAAAAATGATGGTTGTACAGGTCTACAACTTTATTTTCAGGGTTTAAAGAAATAACTTTATAACTATATCATGTAGATTAAATGGAAATTTGTACTTACAATATCCAGGTTGGTGTTGCATGTTGCTATAACCGTCATTAATTCAGAAACATGATCCTGGTAAAAGAGACAAAATAAATACAGGTGAAATAAAGTACATAATATATAATTGTCCTCTTGATCATAAGTTTATTCATTCATCCTCTCTCTTTCCTTTTTTTTGGGTACATTTAGTCAATTTCATCTGTTTTACACATCTTGTCTATCTGTTTTTCTTGCTTATATCAATCCTTTCTAGTTCTCTCTCAATATTTATTTAGAATTTTTATATCATGTTTTGAGAAACGTTCATTTGTACATAAAACCGTTTTTTTTAGAAAAAAATGTATTACAGCTTTCAAAACTGAGAAATATCAGCCCAAAGAGGGAGTAAAAAGAAATAAAAGATTTCCGACCGACCTATGTTTTGGTACCTAAAGGGCAATACAACATCTTTTTTTTTCTTTAGGCCTAATGATAACCAACATACCTTGTATTCTAAGATATCTCTGAATGTCATGTAGTATACACTGAGCACCTTGAGAATCTCTGCTTTCCTGGTGTCTATGGGACTCAGCTGGCCCTGGGTTACAAATCGTTCATAAAAAGAGAAGTAGACTAATGATAATAATAATAATCATAATTAATATTAACAATAGAAAAAGAACAACAACAATAATAACAACAACAACAACAACAATGATTATTATAATAATAATAATAATAATAATAATAATAATAATACAATCATGATAATGATGATAATGATAACAAAATGTTATTTGAAACATAAAATCAGCCATAATAGCAATGAAAATCATAGAGTTTTTGCAATGTATAACTTAAAATAAAAATGTCATTGCTTTTCTCTGATATCTGATTGATTCTCCAATTCACTTTGTTAATAAAAAAACACACAATCAGATCAGATACTGATAGTATTTTACACCAAAAATGTACAACATATATAAATTTAAAAAAATATTAGCAATGTATTTTCTAAATTTATAATATTTCTTATTTTATCATATAGATCATATTTGTTCTTTGCAAAGTGAACATGTTCCATTAATTTGAGAATTTTGCACTCTATACAAAATGTCTCCATCTATTACAGAATTTTTAAATTGTAATAGCTTGACATTTCCCAGCATGGAATTTTCACAAATCTGGACCACTTGTGAAATTCGCAAAAGTTTCTATTTTGACAGTATGTGAAGCAAAGAGACTTGTTTCATACTCACATGTGAATTCTTTTCCGTATGAGGAAATTTTTTGACGATACTCTTGAGACATGATTCCAGACTCTTCTCAGAGAGGAATGCTGGACGAGACTTTGGATCCTGGCAAGCCTAATAATGGAAGAAAAAAAGAAGTCACATTTACTGTAGATGCTGGGGCCAGTTTCATGAAACCATTAGAAGTCCAAGTTCTTGGACAATGGACATGATCATCATCATTTATTAAATTCAGCATGTTCCCTCTTATGTTGGGTTACTGACTTTGGCGCCATAATGACACTCCCTCCCTCCACTTTTCCTTGGAGTATTTTTTGGATAAATATTTTTGGATATCTACAAGTGCATACCGATGGTGGTTGCGGGCGGGCGCGCGTGCCTGTGTGATAGACCTATATGCATGAGGTAAAATGACATTTTGGGGGATTTTCGGGGCATAAAAATATGGCCTCAAATGGCCGTGGTGTTAGCAAGGGAATGTGTATAAACGGTTTCCGTCTCTCAAGAGAGAGCCGACCCTACCCCATAAGAGGCTAACGAACAAAAGAGACGGAAAATTCGGTCTAGGCCGAGTTGTCCCCTGGTCCGAGTTAGCCCGACTCCCTCTCTATCTAGACCCCTAGAGTAAAGGAGCCCGTAATCGGCCAGCTCCCGTTTTCGGCCGATTGGTTGGATGCAAGGTAAAATCACTCTAAAATACATCGCATAATAGCGTAACACACATTCCACACATACCATACCATGCCAGTGTCACTGAAGAACCACATTTGCAATGAAAAATATATCCTAAAATATCACATTTTAGCGATGTAATCGCCGGTCCCGCTACCCGAATCTGAAAAATCGAGTATCTTACTCGTGTCTGTAAGAAATATGGGTACCATAAAATGAGCTTTATTTCAAGTATTTTTCAGATTTAGAGCCCGATTTTGTGCTAGTCGCAAGCTCAAAAGTATCTCATCGCATGTATTAAATCAATGCAGCCGCACACCGCGACGCACACACGATATCTCTGTCTAATTCAGATTCCAACTTCCGATCACCGCTGTGCCTGTCTTCGGCCAGGCGAGCACCAGGGAGCTCAGGCGTGGGATACCTGCTCCGCCCGCTTGTGCTGTACATCAGCGCGGAAACGCACGGCGCGCGCGAGCGCTTCCTATTGACTTTGTACATGCGGCCGTAAACTGAAACGCTCGGCCGATAACCGGCTCCAAAACAGTGAAAATTGAAATGAATATTGTCATGGCAATTCGTGATTTTTTTCTGGGATTCTTTTTTTGTTTAAATAATAATATTTGCTTCATGATTTGAACAAGAAATGATAATAAATAGGAAGTAAAGAGTCCTAAAAATAGGATTTTGTCTTAAGTGGCCGAAAACGGGCTCCTTTACTCTATCTCCTGATTGCCAGTCAAAATCAAAGAAAAAATATATCTGAAATAGTTAGTCAAGAAGACTCGAAATTTTGAGGACAAAATTAATAAGCCGTAGCCTAGGCCTAAATCGTTAGTCTGCACGTCTAATAGGCCTGTTTACTAATGATATGCGAGTGACGTCATAATCCCTCGCACCCTAGCGATTGTTACTACGTAGGGCAAGCTTTGCGTGGTGCGGCACGGTCGCCACATTGTTTTTCCATGCCCGCTACGCTATACACATACAAAGCCATTGCTAGCGACCGCGACGTTTTTTCACCCTAATTTCTACAATGGCATCGCCTTCGACATCAAGTTGTAGTTCCAGCAAGCCGTTTTCGCAGTGGACAGTGAAGGAGCTCACCGATTATTTAAGAAAGAGAGGAGTTACGACATCAGGGTACAACAAACAGAAACTAGTTCAACTTGCGACTGCTGTGGCCGATATCGCTTTGCCCCAAGACCCGGACCTTGCGAGCTTCGACTCCGCACGGTCGCTGCGGGAGAAGTTGGAGCGTGCGGGGTGCTCGTTCGACGACCCAATGAAAATCACCGGCTACACCGAGAACTTTGAAAGTATACCAGATTTCGGATTATACGACATTTTCAACTACCTGATAGTAAATGGAACTGACTACGACAGAAAGAAACTCAAAGCATATAATATGTCGATTCCAAAGTCCTTTCTTCCACAATTCTTAATCCATATTTTACACTTCTCCAGGTTCGTCTTTGGTTTGGGGAACGGGATGAAAAACACACCATTCATATGGGGTCTGTCTGCGTACCGTGAATCGCTGTTACACGTGCCGTAACAGCAATGCTTACCTCCCATTTTTGCGATATTTCGTCGGATTTCGGAAAATAAAATCGAAGATTTGTCATGTACAACTGAGAAAAACTATATTTATTTTAATTATATACCCTAAGGTTGGAAAACAAACAGTTTTAAACGAAGTTTATTAGGACGATGATCAGCCTTTTTTTCCTCGCATTCCCCACATCGCCGTATACAAAGTGTGTGTAGCAGGGCCGTAGCAGACACTGCGCTCGGTTTGTTTGCCAGAGCTTACAACCGTGTGCAAATTTAAAGGTCCGTGAATACATTAGTAAACAGGCCTATTCATTTGTAGCATTATTCATGCACACTCAGTCGAGCTAGCTCAGCTCAGTGCAGTGATTAAGCTCACGGAGATTAACAACAGAGCTGCTTGCATCTCGATCTCACGATCTTGTTTAGACTAGAGTCTATAGTACGTTACCTTTTTTATGTTGTATAATCTTGCAAGCATTCCTGAGCCACGCTCATTCAGAATAGATAGCTTTTCAGCCAGCTTAAGCTGGCCTTGAGATACAGGCATCCTGCTGGACATATCAGACCAAAAACAACGACATAAATTTGTTATTTAGTTCCTACTCCCACAGCATTTGGGTCTGAACGGTGAAGGTGCGGTCAAATGTACTGTACGTATTCTGCATATACGCGGATCTTAGTCGAGGAACCTAGTTGATTGTTTTTCAACCAGGAAGCAAATCGATCAAAACAAATTAAAGATTTTCATCATTAAACACATCTAAATTTAATTATAGAGTACACAAATTATCAAATTTAATCTTAACAAGCTAATTTTGAACAACATTTACCATTTATAGTACTAAGTATAAACTCATAGTCATAAATTGTTATTTATTCATATCTAAAACGGCAATATCATCGTACTAATACTGAATCGGAGGTAACTTCAGCTCGTGAATGCGGAAGGAAAGAACAACACAGTATCAGAGTAATCCGATCGGGATGCCGTGGGTGTGTAACTATAGTTTGCAAAATACCTGGCCAAAATACCAGTGCGTGGATCCTAACAAAAAGTTGATGTATTTAGGGGGGCTCGTAATTTCTCTAAACTATACTAATAATTAAAGATTAATCTCGTAGTCTTTTAATTAACAGGAACAGGGCGGCTACAAAGAGACGGTCATGTATCCAGATTGGGGCAGGAGGGGGGAGGGGGGGGGGGGGTCGGTTGCATCCGAGCTGACAGTATAGTAACACTAATTGACCCTCACCACAAAGTGACAACCACCATTACCAACCGCCATCCCATTTTCCCCCAAGAAATAAGCAGATGTCGACAACATCCGCATCATGGTCTTCTGAACACTTTAAAATATAGGTTCACTCTTAACTAATTACTGAGGGATCGAGTCCCAGAATGTGTCAATGATCGAATTCCTTTATAAATAAGGGGGGGACCTAAGGCGGGTAGGGGGCGGGCAGTGTATCTGTTGTTGTTTTTTTTATTGTTATTTGCGTGTATCATTCATTTATGAATATATACCCCCCCCCCCCTATACAATCACCCCCCCCCCCCAATAATTCACCATTAAAAAAAATGAAGATAAAAATTAATGTTGAGAGCCCGATGAGAGTACAGTTAATGGTTATTATACTCGCAAGATGACCATCAATATAGACATTTTACTATCTCATTTTCATAATACATACGTAAATGAGACAACCGTATATGAGACAAGAATAAATTGAATTCTCGCTCATACGGCTTCATCAGGAATTGATGAATTTATTCAATTCATTCAATCAACAGCATCATAGAAATGCAGTGCGCCAAATGCAAAGCCGCAGTGTTAATCAGCAACGAGCTAAAATGTTAAGCGCGAAGCGCAAAAGGGCAAAAAAAAGTAGAGAGTGGGAGAGAGAGAGATAATGAGAGACAGAGAGGATACAGGCGCGTAGCCAGGGGGGTGGTTGGGGTGGTCACCCTCCCCCCCCAAAAAAACAAAAAAACACGGCCCCCCAAAAAAAAAAAAAAAGAGAGAGAGAGAGAGAGAGAGAAAGAATAAAGGAAGAGGACGTAGGAAGAAAAAGGATTAAGAACTGAGAACGGAACAACAAATCGTCTTCTTTCTCTAATAATGTAATGAAACGTCAAAAGAAACTGAATGTAGACAAGGATTAAGAGTCTAGAACGGTACAACGAATCGTCTTCTTTCTCTAATAATTTAATGAAACGTCAAAGCTTCCGAGCTTTGGGCGGGAAGGGGGGGGGGGGAAACTGAATTAAGACAAGGATTAAGAGTTGAGAATGGTACAACATATCGTCTTCTTTTTTAGATAATTTAATGAAACGTCAAAAGAAAATGAATTTAGCAAGGATTAAGAGTCGAGAATGGTAAAACGAATCGTCTTCTTTCTCTAATAATTTAATGAAACGTCAAAGCTTCCGCGCGGGAGGGGGGGGGGGGGACTGAATTCAGATACGGATTAAGAGTCGAAAACGGTACAACAAATCCTCTTCTTTCTCTAATAATTTAATGAAACGTCAAAAGAAACTGAATTTAGACAAGGATTAAGAGTCGATCGATCGAGAACGGTACAACGGACTGTCTTCTTTCTCTAATAATTTAATGAATCATCAAAACTTCCGCGCTTTGCGCGGGAGGGGGGGGGGGCTGAATTCAGATAAGGATTAAGAGTCGAGAACGGTGCAACGAATCGTCTTCTTTCTCTAATAATCTAATAAATCATCAAAGCTTCCGCGCTTCGCGCGGGAGGGGGGGGGGAAACTGAATTCAGATAAGGATTAAGAGTCGAGAATGGTACAATGAATCGTCTTCTTTCTCTAATAATTTAATGAAACATCAAAGCTTCCGCGCTTCGCGCGGGGCGGGGGGTAAAATCCCCCTCCCTGCACCCACCCCCCTAGGGACCGCGCTTCTATAGGATAATAACCCAGGTAGCAAGCCCATGGAACCACATGGGTCCCAAATTCTCTGAAATGTTATCGTTATTGAGGGTGACTTGAAAAAAGTGAACAACTTGGAAGGGAGGGGTGCAAGCTGCCACACGCTTCTACCTCTTGGTTGCTTTGATCCATTGCCGAAAATATTTTGGCACCTATCATCCCCCCCCCCCCCCCAACGACGGATACAAATCGACACCATTGAAATATTGTAGGATCGCATAAGATTAGCATATGCGATCCTACAATACTCAGTGATCGTTAATTGTTGTGGTTGAAATCGAGTCTAAAGTTATGAAATTGTAAATATGAAACTCAGATTAACTCAACTTAAAGCCGATCTTAGTCTTTGTAAACCACCCCCCTGATCACTAAAAAAAACGTGTGCATGATCTACACCCGGTGATTTTTATTTTCAATTTTTATCGAAAGCAGAAGTGTTTTAGGGGCTAAATTTTCTAGTGCTTATAATAAATCCACAGGGACATCCAAATATATCAAAATTGTAAAGAATCACTATCCACCCTATTTCCAAAATTTCCCAAAACTTTGAATTACCTTTTAAATGGAAGCAAAAAAAAGAAGGGAAAAAATCTAGGCTAGTTGTTCATTTTTTTTTTTAGCATTTTGCGGAGATTCCAGAGAGGCTGTCTACATAAAATCATTGACCGTTTTGTGTGTATCTTCAGGCCAGCGCGGTTCGGTACTTTGAACAGGCTTCCCGGCTTGCATGTTCATGCGCAGCCTAGGCCCCTCCAATGGTTCTAGGAAACCTACCCCTGGACCAGTGGCGGATCCAGGGGGGGCGAGGGGCCCAGGCCCCACCCCTGGGGAAAAAATTGTAAAAACACGTTAATTTTACCTTGTATTGGAGATGGGCCCCCTCCCCTGGCGCTCAAGGGGGGGGGGGGGGGTTGCGAGTTTTAAAATTTTCGAGGACCTCCCCCGAAAAAAAAAAGAATAGTTCTAACTACCCCTCCCCCCTTATCGGCCGGCTGTTTCACCGCTAAATATTTTCTCACGACTTGGGCCCCGGCTGGATCTGCCTCTGCCCTGAACATCCACCCCCAGATAATCACCCCCAGTCAACTACCCCCTAGGACAACTACCCCCTAGGGCAACCACCCTCTAGGACGACTACCCCTAGGGCAACCATCCTCTAGGACAACTACCCCCCGGACAACTACCCCCCCCCAGACAACAACCCCCTAGATCAACTACTCCCGGACAACTACCCCCTGGACAACTAACCCCTAGGACAACTACCCCCGGACAACTACCCCCAGACAATTTAAACCATTAACCGGCGAAAACACTACTTGTACTTGATTTCTATCCAATGTAATTCTATTGAGAGTTGCTGAACTCTACCAAATAAATACATGTATATTGAACTGTAAATAGAACTTGTATTCAGTTGCTTCATTTAAAGACTCCTCATCTTAAATCCGATCCCAACACGACATGGTGGAGGACCCGGTTTGTAGAATTTTATTCCTTCTACTTATTGTGAGGAGGACCAGTAACTTTAGTGAACAATTACATATCTCTTGTCGGCTGAAAACGACATCGTACACAACATGGTGTCAAAGCACCCTATCCCCCAAACAAAACACATTCTAAAGTGCCCCACCGCCCCTCACCCTTCTCTGGGCAGTATCTAAAAGCTACTTTCTACAAAATAAAAGAAAACTCCTGCACTATGATAATGGGCCTGCTTGGTCTACTTAATGTCTCAGTGGCGTAGCCTGGATAAGATCAGTGGTGGTGGGGCAATATTTCCAACAAGTAGGACAAATTACGCTGGGATTATTATGTGTGTAATGTGTTACTTCTTGTTATGGCCACCACAGGAGCGGGGGATGCCTTTTAATAATTATCAAAGATAAAAGGTAAAATTTACCTACTTAAAAAAAGACAAATATTCGAAGCCATGTGTCGCCCCCACACCTACGCCATAGCCGTGGGGGTGTCCTCCATCCAATATTTCCCTTTGTTATTAGCATTTTGTTATTGCTTAGGCCTATTTAATTTTTAAGAATAACGACTCTCAATCCGTATTATGAATAACGGCCCTAACTCTATATTATGAATAGCGACCCTCATTTCGTATTATGAATAGCGACCCTCTTCTCCTATTATGAATAGCAACCCTCATTTCGTATAATGAATAGCGACCCTCTCCTCGTATTATGAATAGCGAAACTCCGCTCCTATTATGAATAGCGACCCTCTACTCCCGTCATGAATAGCGTCCCTCATTTCGTATTATGAATGGCAACCCTCTTCTCATTTTATGAATAGCGACCCTCTTATTGAGTTTTTTAATGTTCAATTATTATTTCCTCGTTTAATTCACTCTCTAGTCGGTTTCATTTGAATTTCCATTTCCAAGCATTATTTTGAACTGTCCCGAAATTGCTTTCCTTTATTGAAATGAGACTACAGCCCCATTCTATTCTTTTCCTATTGGGATATCGAAAGGGCGTGTCCTCCCAGACAAGGAGAAAGACCTCCACCGTACCTTTAAGGACAATACATCAAAATAATGCGGTCATTGTTGCAAAGTCAGGAATGCTGTTTATACCTCTTTGGTAATCCTGGCATGCGTGACCACAGGTTTTTCCAGATACCCACTAAACGAGGGTTTCTTCTCAAGCTAAAATATACCCTAGTTGAGGACTTTGCGTGTTTTTGTCCTGAATTCACACCCTAAACTGGTAGTTCAAAAGAGTGTATCCCTAAACAAGTATTGTAAAATTGTATCATCTTGAGCATTTTGAAGTGCGATAGGAATTACAGGAATTACACAAAATGTGAAATAAGTCAAATTGCTCTTCTGATGTCTAAAGTTCATAATGTAAAAAAGTATTTCAAAAGAGAAGCAATAACATCAACATGTACACTTCCAAACAGCGGTTTAATGCACAGCCATCACAACGCCTTTGTTTAAAAAAAAAAAAAAAGTAGTGTTTACAAAAAGTACACAATGTACAATCGACAATTACTATTTTACTACATACAAAAAATATAAGGGACTAGCCAGGCATATTTTTTTTGTTTTAAATATATCTCCGTTTAGTCTCATTTGACAACGCCCCCTGTCGTCAGAGTCAGCAGCCTAACATGTGAGCCTATGGAATTTTACCCCTCAAAAATCGTTAGCGAATACGCCCCCCCCCCCCCCCCGAACCCCTAGTTTGTACGGGGGTGTAGCCACGATGCTGACTAAGTTGACGAAATAAATCGTATATTTATGACACGAACCTTTTTTTACTCCTAAAAGGGTGTCGTGACTAACAAAACAAAACAAAAGGTTTGAAAAACATTAAATACTCGTGCCCCGGCCGCCCCCCCCCCCCCCCCTCCCCCAGCACTCCGCACTGAGCAATGTTAACGCACACATAGCTGCATTACTACCCTGGCTGTGTATTAAAAACTGTGCTTTTGATTCTCAACATTTCAAACACCACTGTTTACAATCTCAACTAATTTCACTAAAAATCGGTACTTTAGTGACAATTGATGACACCTAAATAGCAGTAAAATACAATTTTTCAACTTATTGATGTTAAAAAGAATAATTTAAAAATTCACATTGTAAGTCTAGTGTCAAATTTGCCGATCAATCCAATCGGTTCTATTGTGTTCAGCCAATTCAATATTATATGATGTGTATAATTGTGTATAATACCTGCCTAGCGCCTCACAGCAAGTATGCAGTGCTAAAGGTCATTACGCATTAGCATGCTTTGCTGGAATGGGTTAACGTGAGTATGAAGTGTTTATTCGTGAAAAGATGGCTACCGTGTTCTAGCTTTTAATCAGAGGGATAAAAGTATGCAGTTAAACCGTAAGGCATTGGTCTACATGGCTAATCTTTTATTAAATGATTCCATTTGCTGTTGGCACATAGTCTAGACTAAATCAATATCATATCGCACTTACCGTCTAGAAAATTCGAATGACCCACATGCTCATTTCTGTGTTTGTATACATTTTATAACAAAAGTTAGCAGAACAATTTATCAACTCATAATAACGGAATATATAAACAAGCGAGTCACACTGACTAGGACGGTCAGTTAGGATTTAATTGCTTTAGCATTACTGGCAGGTGATTGTATTACTGTATTATATTTTACCTTGCTTGCAGGAGAGAATTAGCAAGACTTTTAGTGGTGAGCACATTTAAAAAATGTGATGTAGGTAGGCCCACATGTAAACATTTGTGTGTGCATGCTCTTGTCCATTAATATTGAGGATGATATAAAAATGCACGAAGAACAAAATACCCTTCTGCCTCCAATAGATGTTTTAATCTATAAAGGCTAATGAGTAGAAGCAAGTAATGAAAGTTTCTGACTCCATCTAGGTCTAGTATAGATCGATTCTAATTTCTAATTTTTTTTTTTCTATGTTTGTTTTGTTTTCTTTCTGTAGGAGTGTAGGGTCTAGATCTAGGCCTAGAAGATCATGAATGAGGTTATGAGAAATGCAAAGACTTTCCTTGGACTGGTACAGACTGCCAAGACTGATGCAGCTGGACACTGGAACCGAGAGGCATTCCAGAGGGCCATGCAGTGGGCAGAATATTTTGAAGGGGTAAAAGCTGTTTGAATTTTTAGCCAATTTAATTGCCAAAGACTTGACAATTTTCGGCATTTAATGAAATAAATTTTTAAAATCTGCCAATTTGTTTCTGATCTTTTTTATTGATCAGTGATCAGAAATTATTATCCGATCTCACCTAATTGGCTCAAGATCGGCCCCCGATCTGCATTGGTTCCAGGCGTAGTACTGTATGATACTTTACATTTAGGAAAGTTTTAAATGTATGATAGGATTAAATGTATGACAATCAGAGAATTTCTTAAAGAGTGACATCATAACAGTTCCAAAATAAAAACAACGAAAAGCACATAACATTTAAATGAAGGAAATATGTTTCAGAGTTTCATTCTCCATCCTCAGCCTGAATTTAAAACATAATTCAACCTCGTACTCGTCAGTTACATACAAGGAATTTTGTACAAACATCTATGTATCAATCCCTCAGGTTTACAAGAAACTAGAAACCAAGGCAGAAGTGGTGACTAAGTTCAGCAGGGGCCTAGAGATCATTAGCAGTCAGCCTGGAGCCTGCTCTGGACCTAGTCCTGTCACCTTTGCGGATCTTAAACACTCAAGAAGAATGCTCCTTAAGGTAATCTGGAACATGTCTGCAAAGGCCACCGAAGGAAAAGAAAAATTGGCATCTGTAGAAAGCAGGCCCTTTTAAACAGATTCTACAAGATATATTTCGTCTTTGGGGAGACTATACATAAGTGACCATAATTTGTTCTATATAGCTCTATACACCTTGGATAGCTTTGATTGTATGTATCAAGAAAGTGTTTGCAATTTATTATTTATTGGCAATAGTATGAATAAAATATGTCTTGTTGATAGATTGTGTTAGTAGACTGTTTTATTATAAACAATGAAAATAAAAATGGTAACACCCAGGAGGTAGGGGCATCTAGCAATCCATTGTAAATGGGAAGTTGTCTGACCAAACTTTCTGTCACCTTTGCTGAAAATGAAGAAAAATTTGTTCTGAGATTTTTTTATTTGTCGCTGGGAAAGCTTTTAAAAAGAAAGAGTCCAACGACAAAGAAGAAGTCTTCAGATAATTTGGTAACATACTTGAAAGGAAGGAGTACATCCATACTTGATAACCGGTGATACAATAAAATTATAATATGTTTTTCTTCTATTTCTCCTCTCAGATTTTGCTCCAGAATCCCTATTTGAGTGGTGAACTATACTCTCTGGTACTGGACAATTACAACAGCCTATCATCTAGCCCCGAAGGGTTAACAGGAACAGATATGCTTAACCAGGTAGGCCCTACACTTGTTTGAATCAGTAATATTCAGAATGAAGATGAATGATGGTAACCTAAAATTTGCTCTGGCAACATTGCTGGCTTACAAGGCTAGGGTTGTAGTAGGGTTTTAGGTTAAGGTTAGGGTTAGGTATCATTTGGTGTAGGGTGAGGGTAAGGTATGGTCCAGAGTTAAATTTAGGAATTTAGTTGTGTAGGGTACTGACTATGGAGCAAATGTTGCCGGAGCAATATTTTTTTCTTTTTTCTTCGAGTAAAACGGCTTCCGAGGAGTACCGCTGCAAATTATTCATCTCAAAATCTTAATAAATTTTATAAATCAAAAATTAGAAGAAGCCTAAATTAGCCTTTAATTGCTTTGTTTAGAATGTTGTTTAGAAAAAATGATTTGTCTGCAATCGTTTCTACTTCTGTGCCGCAATAAATTATTATACAGTTTAAATCAGGAAAGTTATGGTGTTGCTATTAAGTTTTACCGTGCCTAATGCTATGGTCACATTACCCAAAAGTAGCCTGCTCGGCGGCCGAGCGGCGAGTTTTTAACCAATTCTGCCCGGCGACTGCCCGGCCACCGAGCGGCGGCTGCCCAGGCACCGCTCGATTTTAGGGCATCGCTCGGTCGCCCCTGAAGTTTTAGCGCGGAGTTAAAATTTGGGCGGCGCCTGCTCACTTTTCACTCGCCGCCCAAAATACACTCGGTGCCTGGGCGGTCGCCGCCCGGGCACCGACCTAATCGCTGGGCAATGCCTAATTCCAGCAGCGACCGAGCAGGCTACTGATCGGTCGGTCGCTGCTCTGATTTGTGACCATAGCTTAACCTACAACGTATGATTACCGGTAGCTTATTGACCATATTGACTAGAATTTGAACCATGGACCTTCAAGATCCAAGATTACTTCTGTATTAACCACTGAGCCTTCCTCATCTTCCAGGATGCTACAGAGTGCAGTCATGCCAAGGCACAAAGAGAAACCCTACTCGGGATCAAAGCTTTTACTTCTCAAGCAGTGGAAAGGATGGAAAAAAGAGGTCATACAGGTAATTACTCATTGTTAATGAAAATAACGATGACAATGTTGATGATTACAATGATGTCGATGATGATGACATTGAGAAGGACAATGACATTGACAGTGACATCGATAGTGACATTTACTTTGTCATTGTGAAAATAACAATGACATTGGCTTTGCCATTGTGGGAATAACAATGACAAGTTAAGTGGGGAATATCCTACAACACGAGAAAATTCCATTATTAACAGGTTAATTGATTAAGTGTTGTTTGCAGGGTTATTGCTAGAGGTGTGGTGGGGGGGGGGGGGCGGACACAAAATATGCTTCATTGCTCTCCATTTAACATCACATCTCTCAGTGTCAGTGATCATGTTGCTTGTTGTGGGCAGATAGGTTCTATATGTGATGCTCTTTTCATGTTATTTTGGATTTGCAGGGCACTGATAGAGTATAGAAATTTTAGTATGATTGAATATTCATGCTTTTTAATTCTCTTTGTACAGATCACACCCTGGATTCCAATGACATGATTGATGTTGAGATCCAGACAGATGCATGTATTCTTCATCAACATCTTCTCCATCACCTGTCTAAGAACCGATCATCACAAAGGTAGTCATAGCGACCAATTTGTAAACACCAGTGAAACTCCCAGTGGCATCAGCTATGCCTCCTGAAATAAGTTTTTTTTCCAGAAAGTACTAGGAATTTTTGTAACTGTCGATCCAATAGAAAGGAATAGGAAAAAATTATGTTTCTGACACTTCTAAACTAGATCCGTCAATGTGTAAGTTTCCTTGTAAACACGTGGTAGATATGCAAGGACTCTTTTGATGATTAGTTTTTGATTATTAGTGCAAAACTGGTATAGATAAGATTTAGTCATATTTCATTAAAAGCAATGTTCCGTTTAATTTAGTCAAAGCTACAATACCAGCCTGTCCTACAACAATATACAGCGTGTCCACACACAAAACAATTTATCCCGAAACTCTATAACGAAACGACGTATAAAGAATCATCGTATAAATTCCAGGGTGTCCACACACAAGAAACGTCGTATAAAGAATCATCGTATAAATTCCAGGATGTCCACACACAGAAAAAAGTAATCCTGAAACTCTACAGCAAAATATTGTATAGGTGCGCAGTTTACTACTGCGATCATGAAATGGAAGCGAAAATGAGAGGTCAGGTCTCCTTTCGCTCGAGGTCACATTAAGCCCCGCCCAGTTATACCGTTCTAGTTCACACACAACACATTCCGTGATTAGGCGTGATTATTTATACGTCGTATAAAGAAACGCAGGTTTGGGCATCGTTTCGTTATATGACGTTTCGTTATATGAGGAATAGTTAGTAAGCATCCACACTCACAATTTCATTGTATAACTATCGTGAAACAGTATAACTATTCCAAAATGGTATAACTAATCACGCCTAATCACAGAAAACGTTGTGTGTGGACATGGAGATAGTCTAGTTATCACAATCTGGAGAAGATTTCTTAATCCATTGAATACCAAGACCAGATAACTTTGGCTCAAGTCTATATGGAAAATGTGTGTTGTACCAAAATCAAATCTCATCCCACAAGTCTAAATCTTATTCAACCTATCTCTACTATTTTACTCTCTGTGTCTTTTGCAGCACACTTGACTACCTACATGATAAGTTAGAGGAGATAGCTCAAAAGCCCCATGGACTCGTAAGTATTCCCCTGAATATGAAATAAAAAAGGCAGTGACCCAAATACAGTCCAATCTGTCTTAGTTAATAATAATAATAATAATTATCCTTGCTTATATAGCGCCTAACACTTACTTTATCAGAAGTCTCTAAGCGCTCTACAAAAATGCAGCATAATTACCCTGGCTTAAGCAGTGCAGCTGTTACGCGCACTGCGTTTCAAGGAATAAATTCCTACAAGGTACCCATTTACTTCACCTGGGTGGAGTGTGGCAAATGTAGATCAATGTCTTGCCAAAGGACATTAGTACGGCAGCGGGACTCGAACCGCGGACCTTGTGATCGACAGTTCGGCGACGTATCCACTCGACCACAACACCTCTACACTTTTAGTTAACACCTTCTAGAGTGGTCATTTACATCGCTTCCTCTTAAAGAAACGTGTGTTGTGGAAATTATTTGGAAGAGCTACCTATCTGTTGTATCCACTTCCAATGACTCCCCTGGGTAGTCTTTATAGGCAGAATTATTTGTAAATTTATGGAAAATGCTTGATAATGTACAATGCTAAACAAAAAAGAAACTTAAGAAATACATTGGATTCAAGGCATTTCATAAAATCTTTTAGATTGTAAGTATATGAGGAATGTATCCTGTTTGTATTCCCAGTGCTAGCTATAGAATCTGTCTTTTCTGTTTATTGTATCTTTCAAATTTATTGAATATATTTCCCCTTTCATATATCTTCCATTTTCCAGATTGTTATTGAGTGTAAGGAATAAATGACCCGCCCATTACTTTCTCATAGAAATTCTACATTTCTCTGTGTTGTATTTCTTCTATCTTCCAGAGGATTATATACATATTAAATCACCCAGACACTAAATTCTCATACAATTATATCTTCTTTTTTTCCCCTTCTCTGTTTTTGTAGGAGATCATCTCTTTTGCTGAATCGCATATTCTCTCCTGGGAGAATGAGGAACAGAGAGAAGCTGAAGATTCATTGGGCATCTCAGCTGAAATCCGATGTAAGCAGCTCCTCTCGGACTGGTTGCTGAAGAGAGTCAATATTGCTTCAGCAAATGAGATTAAAGATGAGAGAAAACCACCCTAAAGTGATTTATTAAGGTGAGCCCTTATGGGTGGTGTTTGGATGAAAGAAGATGGATACACATCAAGCTTTGTATCATTTCATCTCATGGATTTCCATCGAACATGTGATTGCTGTTGGATCTCACGGCTGAGCCATCCTTTATGAAGCCAGGCATCTTGATAATATTTTGCAATTTAACTTCTAGAAAGGCAATCATAGCTTCAACTCACAGGGAAAGTTTGGGTTAGCTACATAATTTGGCATATCTTTTTAAATGATCTCTTCCAAATGACTGTGTGTAGGGTTTGCTCAATTACCTCCTGGACGGTGTGTGCGCTCTTTATGTTTACACTATTATTATTATTATTATTATTATTACTCAATTGTTCCTCAGAGCAAGTCTTACCTCTCCTGGTTGAGAGAGAACAGCAAGATGAGACAAAAAGAAGCTTTAGCTGCTACACTGAAACACACAAAAGAAACATTCATAACACACACAAAAAAAGAAAACAATTATTAAACATCAAACTAGCAATGTATAACACTTGAATATTGCATTATGAAAGATTTATTTCCTAACATAATTCAATAAAAATACAAGAACAAAAATATGTCTGTGACATGAATGATGAGTTTTGGTTGTCCACAAAACAGGGGTAGGAGGCACTATCCCCAACCAGGCCATTCAGAATGTCAACCCCTGTATCCTCACTTGCAGGCTCATGGTTATGTCTTGCTTGGAGCTTGGGTGGACTCGGGGGCCCCAGATGGCTCCGTCTTTGGTGCCCAAAGCCGTTTCCCTGACTGAGACAAGTGATCAGCTTCTGGTTGACTGCAGCCAAGTTAGGGGGGTTTGGACACTTCCTACGGAAATGCCCATCCTCCCCACACTTGTAACTGAAGTAAGGATGTTTGTTCACAAATATCAGGTCCTGAGATGTCGCCTCCCTGTCCCTCATCTGCTGCTCCAGCCTTGCAAGCTGCAGCTCCATGGCATTTGATGGTTGATAAAATGAGGATTCCTTAGGGGTTTCAACTACTGCTTGGAGACTTCTCCCTTTATTAGTCTCCTCTGTCTCTTCTCCGTGACCTCCTCTTCATATAGCCTCACCTGGCTTAGAAAGGTGATGAAGGAGGGTGGGTCATGCAAGAGATCCCTAAGCCTCAAACTCACTAGGAGTATCTCCTCATAGAGACTCCGGATAAACTTCTGCAGCCTGAGGTAGTGTGCCCTGTCCGGAGGCGCTCCTCCCTTCCGAACTGCCCGTCTCAGTGTGGAGTTCAACCCCATGATGAAATCTGATGGTTTCTCCTGGTCATGCTGTGCCATGTCATGGAACTTGAGGAGTATCTCCTCCCTGCTCTCGGTGGTGCCGAATGCAGCTTCAAGGGGTGCTATATAGTCATCTGCGGATGCCTGCAGCTTACTTAGCTTCAGATCCCTCACAATAGTTGATGCAGAGGGTCTGAGGGCTTCGCTGATTCGCCGCCGCTTTTCCACCTCTTCAAGGCCGGCCGCTATCCACTCCTGCAGCTGCCCTTCTGCCTGATCTACCCACAGGTCGAATCCATCTTTATCCCGCGATGGTGACAGAGATCCAGAGAAAGGGCTCAGCTTCCTGTAATTTGAGTGGAGGCTCATATTAAAGAATTCCTTCATCAGTCGATGATCTCCTGGCGAGACATGTCGAGAATTGTGACCTTCACGAGGCATTGGTCCTGGCTGTTGGAGGAACTCCTGAGTTTGCGATCGAGTTGTACTCATCCTTTCCCTACTTTCTGCAAGTGTTACCCTTCGCCCTGTTTGTTTAGTTTGATAAGTCAGCAACACTAGGTGAAAGGGCATGAGGGTTCCTCCTATGTGCATGTGAATGTCTTGGTCGCGTAGGGTGACTTGTGAAACCTTCTGGTCCAGTTCCAGAAGTAGGGCGATAGAGGATGACTTGCAGTGCCGTATCGCTGCACTCTGTACACAGTCCACTACTTCAGAGATAGAACATAATAACTCATCAAGAGTAATAGTATCTGCATCCACCTCATCCCCAATGAGGAGGACTGCCATATCTAAGGCAATATCCTCTTTCTTGCATAGGGCCCTGGCTGGCGCTAACAGGTTTGCCTTATACTCTGCCATGATAAACCACAAAATAGGCTTAGGCAGTAGCAGGCCTCCTCTATTCTTTCCTTTTTCCTCTGTCCTTATCTCTGGGCACTGTCTACGTCTCTTACAAGTTGCCATTAAATGTCCTCTCTCTGCTTGCTTAAGGCAGCTAAAGCAAGCACGGTTCTCCTTAGCCATCTGCAACCTATCTGGTGCTGGTTTAGAAATAAACTTCTTACACTGGTCTATCCAGTGATCTGACAAGTGGCATATCCAACGTCTCTCTCGAGTACCAGGTGTTGGTACCCACTTCCTTTCCCTATCTTGCCTCGTATCTTTCTGGGCACAGTAACCAACAGCTCCTTGGCGGAATTCACTCCGAAGCGGGGCTGAGACACGCATCCTGGCCTTCATCTCATTGGCCATCCACTCCAGAAGCATATGAAGTGATGCTGGATCTCTATCCTTTTCCTGAAATCGAAACCACACCTTGCGGTCACGTGGACTCATCTTCTTCTCATTGATGCCAACATGTGGTTATTGTCCATGTCGTTCTTTCTTCCAACACTTACAAGGATATTGTAACTCTTTCTCACCAGATGGACTCACAGAAGTGGCTATCTTCATGCTCGGAATTTGCTGATATCGTCAATGATTGCATCTGCTACAAATCTAGGATCACCATAAATTAAATCAAGCTGCTCCCATGCAACGTTATAATCTCTTCCGATACTCCAGATTAAGTTGAGGGGCTTACCTTGTAAGCAGCTTCGTAGGATGGTGATGCAATCCCTATTGCTGTACCGGTGCTCTATCAGATGCTTGAAATCATCCCGAAATACGAAAAACTCTCGTACATCTCCGCTAAACTTAGGAAGATGCAGTTTCTCAATCTTCAGGCTGTATGGTTGGGCTACAACTTTAGGAGAGGAGGACTGACCGGACCCAGACTGGACTGTATCTCCAGGACTCTCAATAGAAGGCGCTGCCTCTGCTTTCTCCGGTTCTCCTCTCTTTTAACTCTTCAAGATACTTGGTAGCGTCAACCTGCCAGTTTACGAAAGCTGTCTCGCAAAAGTCCATCCATTTCTCCTCTTTCTCAAACTCCTTGTCGTCAATGTTCAACTCAAAATAGCTTTCATGCTTCTCCTGCAGCTCTTGCTACACAATCTTGAGATGTTGGAATTTTTCCTCAACATCTTCCATGCTTGCATTCTTTGAAATGAGCTGTTCTACTACATTTCCAAATCGTGTCATTTTTGCCTTGGCGCCGCGTCGAATATCTAGCTTTCCTGTTATTATAATGAACAAAATGAACTTTTTTTCTCATCTCATGAAATAAACAATCTGCACTCTAAAAATCTCCTCTAAGATTTTCAACCTGCTTAAAAAAACCACAAAATAAATTTCGCTCAGCGAAACACCATTGCTTCTTCTGCACTTGGAGATGTTGAGGCTATAGGTAAAAGAGTGAAACAAATCAATAACTTGGCCTCATTGTTGTTGCATTCTCTTGTAGATCATGCATACAGCTATTACCCCAAAAGATGTTAAAAATCTAATTAAAAGGCAACATATTAACCTGTTGAACACGATTTGATTTCCATATAATACACATTTTCCATAGACCCTGGCCCAAGTTATCTCGGGCATAGGGCTCAACAGGTTAGTATTTATACATATTTATCTAAAGAGCTATAACATAAAATACAGTAAAATGTGTAAATACTCACTTATGAATGCGTACATGTACAAAACCAAAAAGAAAATGTAATACAGTGCAACAAGCAATCCATTAACATTCCTTCATCATCTAGTGTTCATACATCTAGAAACCTAAATAGCCATTTCTTCTGGGACCTCCAAAAGTTCTCCATCAGGAAGTTCTCTATATCCTATGTACAGATCACAGCACATGCTGGGATGATCGACTCTCCTGACCCCATGGCCTAGAATCCCGTGAACCCAATAAGTGAACATCCTATAGGCACAATATCTGTAGGACCTGTGAAATTGAAATATGCATAAACAGAAGGAGAAAAGGAAATTAGAAAATGGAAATAAATTAAGCTCAAAACCTGAAAGTATGTGTTCAAACATTCTCATTTCCTGTTGCAAATTAGTTAAAATCGATAAAAATGTCTATTTTCAAATCATTAGTTTATTCATGGCACCTTCACACCCTAATGCCTATTCCCAGTCAGAGAGATCATCATCTCCAAAATCATCTTCTGCATCTTTTTCGTCTTCCGTAGCTTGATTGCTACATTCGTTACACTTACACAGTTCTGTACAAGTGATCTTGTTTTTTACACACATACATCATATTCTCTTTCCTTGGCTGTAAAATCTCTTAATTTGGGTCAAAAAAAAGATAGATAGATTAATGTTTTTTTTTATATTGTCATGCACAAACATTAAAAATCCACTTTACAGTCAGATAATTAAGTCTTACCACTTTGTACATGTACTGGTATTTCTTTCTCTCTCGAATGTTTTCTTTTGTTATGGTCCCACACGTTAGACAGGTTTTTAGCGTGACACTTGGGGCAGTCAGCTCTTGGGGCGGTCAGCTTTTTCTTCTCTCCTTTTTTCCCTAATCGTTGAATGGGGACACTTTGTACGAAAAGGGGATGGGTACATGCTCAACCATCAATGTCACCTGTGGTGTCACCACTGAAACAGTGTCCTCCTGGAGAGCATAGCAATATTCGTCGGAAGATGAGTCTGCAGGGGGTTGAGATACAGGTGATTTGCGGTCGGTGTCTGCAGGAGCAGTGCTGACCGACTTGACGTGCTGGCTTTGCTGTGATCTCGCTTTTGTCTGGCATACATGCTCAAAATGGTCTTTCTTGTGGCAAAAGTTGCATGTTTTGCCTCGAGCAGGACAGTCCGCACTGTGGGGGAGCTGACCACCACAATAATTACAAATGCCTGTCGATCTGTGCTTCGAAGGACGCTTCTGTGACTGAAACTGGGGCTTGGCGGTCTGGATAGCCTTAACGGTTGCAGGGCCGTCCTCCATCAATTTGGCCTGCGCATCTGATTGTTCGAGAAGTCTACCCATGGCCAAAATGTCACTTAGGCTCTTGTCTTGTTCACGGAGCGCCCGTCTGCGAAAACGTAAAGAAGAACAGTGCTGTATGAGCTGGTGTTGTCAAATTAATTTTTCACACTCATTTAATTTTTTAGAGTTCTTAATCTTATGTATAGTTACCGAGTTTGGCTAAGCCAAACCTAAACTAAATACATGCATGAATTTTTACTTTACGGCTGTCTAGTTTAGTCTATTACTTAGTAGCAAGGGTAAACCAGGTACTGTTACTGCACTTTGTGAATCAATTATTAATATCATTTTGACCTACTTGCTATCAAGATCTTCTGGCATGTCCTCGGCAGTCCAATCGAGCGACTAAAGCCGTCCTCAATACAGCTTTTTGTAGGCAGACTTTGCTAAAGTCCTCATTTCTTGTGATGCATGGTACCCCATCGTC